ATAACAAGAACCATTGTATAATCATAATGGTTCTGTATAATCATACATAGCACAGCCTGCCTATATATGATCATTTATATAGTGATGACTCGTTCTTTAAAAACATTGTGCTAAGAATAACAAGAACTATCAGTGTATATATAATTACAGTTCATAGCACTACCTGGCTATAATCATTCATATAGTGATGGTTCGTTCTTTAAAAACATTGCGCTCAAAATAACAAGAACCATTGTATGATCATAAAAACATTGTGCTAAGAATAACAAGAACCATTGTATAATCATACATAGCACTGCCTGCCTATAATAATTTATAGTGATGACTCGTTCTTTAAAAACATTGCGCTCAACTCCTTCTTCGAAAACATTGTGCTCAGAATAACAAGAACCATTGTGTATAATCATACATAGCACAGCGGCCTGCCTATATATGATCATTTATATAGTGATGACTCGTTCTTTAAAAACATTGTGCTAAGAATAACAAGAACTATCAGTGTATATATAATTACAGTTCATAGCACTACCTGGCTATAATCATTCATATAGTGATGGTTCGTTCTTTAAATACATCAGAACCATTGTATGATAATACATAGCACAGCCTCTATTTAAGCGTTCATAGTAATGGATCGTTCTTTAAAATCATTGCGCTAAAAATAACAACAACCATTGTATATCATTCATAGCATTGCCTCTAGCCATATACTGTATGTAATTAATTATTCATAGTACTGGCTCCTTCTTTAATAACATTGCCCTAAAAATAAGAAGAACCATTGACAATTGTATAATTATTCATAGCACTGCCTCTATGTAGAATAATGCGGGATGGTTTTCATTCGTTGAAATAATAAGTCGCTAGCGTTACAAAAATGTTGGCGACAATATTTCTTACTTCAAAAATCAATATAAACAGCAAACACGGCTTAACATGCAAGCACTGTCATTATTTTGGATTGTGGCACTGAGATGGTTATGGATTATTTTGGATTTGGATTTAGCACTGAGATGCAGTGGATGCCATAAAAACAAAGTCGTCGTAAAACGTTGGAGCTATAATTAATACGTCACTTATCTTGCAAAAATGACAAAATTTCCTCGCGCTAACCTATACACAGCCAAAGGTAATAGGCTACGGTTAACTTACGCATGCGGAGATAAAAATATCGCAAAGAGAGTAAAATGAAAACTATTGACATTTAATGGTTGAATATTTAACTATTTACAAACTTCCAAGCCCTTATCAGTTTCAACTACTTCCTTTTACTCTGTCCGAACGATCCATATACAAATATTTTTTAAAATGTAAATCAAAATAAAACCATCTTCTTTCATGCTTGCTAATGTTTGCTATAATCCATTTCACTTGCTCCCACCGTTTAACTGTTTTACTTTTGTCCCAAAATGTCGAAGACACAATCCAATCTGTTATCACCGTTGGGGGACAGCCATTTCCCATTAGGAACAGGACTAACTTAAAAGTTTCCTCATCACCAATTGGTTTCTTCCAAAACGATCTTCTCATGTCGTTTGGCCACACCAACAGTGGGTAAAACAGATCACCATTGATACTTCTAAACAAATCTTGTCTTCTCTCTGACATTTCTGTTTTTGATGACGTTACTACAAAGTTCCTTGCATCACACATTACGACCAAAAACTTGTAATAATCAATTGCCTTCAAGTTGCGTTTAATTTGACGTTTAATAGAGTTTTATACAGACTACTCGGCCTGCAGCGTAACACTTACGCCCATTATTTTTACACTTTTTATGTTTACACGATATTAGCAGGAAATAGCTGTCATCTCACTTTCGCTTGAACTAAAAGACGCCAATAAATCATTCACATGTCAAATTCTATCTGTGCAAGTGTAGCTAGTGCCAATAATAACAATAGTTTTGTCGGTATAGGGATGCAACTACCTTCCTTGTATTAAAATTCGCCTCTTACTAATTTTCACTCACCTTTCAAAACGCGATTACGTGGCCTCATGCTAACACTTAATAATAATAAAGGGTGAGTCCAAAATACCAAAAAGAACTAAAAAAAATTATTGAATGCTACTCATTTTCCTAATACAATAACATATATAATGCAAATAGTAATGCAAATCAGTTAAATAACTCAACAGATTTGCATTAACTGTCTCATATTACACCACAAACCTTTTCGCTTCACATTTCACACTTTGACTTGCAAACTCAAATTGTAATTCTACACCACTTTCTGACATGCTTCTCATGCAGCATATATAGAGGTGGACTTCAATCATTTAGTCTCTTTTCCTGCTGGTTGCCTTTTCAAAAGCATCACGTTTAACATTATATGCGGTCATGGCATGGACAAACGATCAAGTGATGGAAACGAATCTCGAACGGTGTTATCAGTTGGATTTTGACTGGGAGTTGATCCCGAAGAAGCTTCAGAATGTAAGTTGTTCTATACGCATCATCTTACCTCAATTATTCATATTAAATGTATGATTTGATTGTGGGAATATCATATACATTTACAAAATGATTCACTTTTTTTTCCCAAAACATTTTCGTAAAGATATGTGAAATCTGGGGAAAGCGAATGAAGCAGCAGAAGACAACAGTGTTACTGGCGCTTGTGACGGTGGTTTCATTTGTTTTGGGCCATGCATCGGTGACGGTTAAAGATGGTTGGGATGAGCCTATTGTTATATGGTTAGCAGTTGTTCTGAAAACAGGTATACCTCAAACCAAAACGCTTTATATCCTATCTTGATTGCAGCAGTATACTTCTATTTTATTTCATATAACCATGGGCATGGACACTTGCATTGTTAAAGTTATTATGCACATGTTCTCACAGGCCGTTCTGCATGATTATAACTTTTATACCACTGAATGTGCAAATTTTCTGTCCGATTCTAATGACTAAGGGCAGGCTAGGGTCAAACGTGTAACTTTTCATGCGCCAAACCTAATGCAAATGAAGTGAAATAAAGAACTTAGCTCATTAACATTACCTTCGGCGCATCAAAAGTTGGACGTTTCACCCTCGCCTAAAGGCCATTTTCCATTGCAGTCGCTTTGCCCGCGCGGGCGGAGCGAACATTACTCAACTTTCTTCTGCATGTACTTGCCTAACCTGTGCATTTTTTTGTCCGCCTCAAGGCTGGCGGACACGCGCCCTGTAGGTAGAATTACATTCAACTTTCTTGGCGTGCCCAGGCGACTAACTTTTCACGTGATTAAAATTTGATGGAAAATGACCTTAAGGCGAGTGTTGACACCGCTACAATATTGCAGCTATCTTGGTCAAGATTTAAAATTCCGTTTCCGATATCTACCTTCATCAAACTTCATCTCTAACTGACTTAATATAATATCCTTACTTCTATATCCCAAACATATTAATGCTAGACAGAAATATTTTATTGCCCATAACATAAACGCGAAACAATTCAAATAGGCCGCTGAGATTAAATTATTTCTAATACATGGCGTGCAAATGGCATGTGCCTCTCTTCTCCCGCCCGCACTAAACGCCTGCTACGCAGGCTACATGTGACTTTTACTTCGGTCGCCTGTTGAACACGAAAAATAAATGTGGAATTTCAAAGCGATCCATGCCGATGTTTTTTTTTTCGGTTGATTATATAAAGGACAGTCTTTGAAAAGCCATAATTTTTACAGAAAAGCGATAATTGAAAACCCGATAATTTTCGATGTGAAATTATCATAAACAATCTCACATTTGAGATTACAGTTTTATCAGTGCTCCAAATCTCTACAAAGCACTATACTTTATACAGTATAATAAAAGCTTTTAGTATATTAATTATATTGCTTTATAAACATTTCGAGCACTCATCAAACTGATAATCTCACATGTGACATTATTTATGATAACTTCACATGTGAGAATCAACGCTTTTCAATTATCGCTTTTCTGTAAAAATTATATCGCTTTTCAAAGACTGTCCTTTATATAATGAACAGAAAAATACATTCATGCTTGGAAATATCAGATTTCTTGGTTTCTTTTCATGAACATGATATCTCACTCATTCGCTGCGCTCAATCTTCATATATCATGTTCAACACTCCAAATAAACCTGCTATTTCTGCGCACCCATGACCATGTATTATTCTCTATATATCTGGAATAAAAAATGCGTCTAAGTGGTCTTCTTTAAAACTTGACGTTTTGTCATTTCATTAAATTTGCGTGGGTTTTAACTAAAACACCGCCTTTGCCAAAACGCGTGTAAGCAATTACCTTTTGCACACTAAGTGCAACCTCAAATGTCTTCAAATTCTCGCAAATTTCATGCTGTGTATAGGCTAATAAGCAATCGCCAATGCTCAAATGATATTTAACGGCGAACTGATCGTTAACATTATAGCATTGCCACATATTGCATTGCTTTGTTATATTGAACACGCATGGAGTTTATAACATAGACTGTATTAATCGAATGGAAGCTAATGTGTCCTGTGTCCAGTTGGTCCTCTGGTTCTGTAAATCTTGAACGTTCCCTCGTTTCTAGTACTATACACAGGACGAAAAAATAGATTTGCTCCAACTTTGCAACCCCCTGCAAAGGTGCCATTGCCGTAATCGCATCAAATTTGCTATTGTGCAAATTTTGTTCAAATTTGGAAAGCAAATTGGTAAATAAATTTTTACCCTCATATTGGTAAATACAATTCTCTTTTTTGAGAGGGAATGGGTATAGGATAAATTTGGCTCGAATTACCTTTCATTTGCACAAGTGAATTTGTGGGTATTTTCGTCCATAATTTGGTTTCTAAATTTGCCAAAATATTTGCAACCTTGCAAATTTGATGCGATTACGGCAATGGCACCTTTGCACCGGGTTGCAAAGCCTAGTGCAAATCTGTTTTTTCGCCCTGTGATATGTACAGCTAAGAATTGGTGATTATATGCGACACATTGCTCCGTGAGAAATATTTTTTCAGCATGCCCCAGAATACATAGAGAATAATACATGCATGGGTGCGCGGAAATACCACATCTATTTCGAGTGTTGAACATGATATCTCACGAGTGAGCGGCAGCGAACGAGTGAGATATAATCTTCAACACGAGAAATAAATGTGGTATCTCCAAGCGCCCATGTATTTTTCTGTAAATTATATAAACAAAATTCAGTGAAAAACAATAAACAGGGACCGCGGAGACGGGGGGCTGGGGGGGCTTTAGCCCCCCCCCCACTTTTTTTGACAGCCAAAATTATTAAAATAGAAATCTAAATGAAACTTTCTGAATTAATTAATTGGGGGTTTTATTGATGATTTAGCCCCCCCCCCCCACTCTCTAATACGCTCCGCGGGCCCTGATAAAACGTCCGTGGCAATGCGTTTTACAACAAATTATATTTTCACACATGAAAATATCGTATTTTTTACGTGTATTTACATACGATTTTTGTCAGTGGCCGAAAATTCTATATAACATATTTCATTATATAATTAATGTATATCTGCATCTTCATGTGTAATCCTTCCTTCCGGAAGACAAGCAATAAAACTTTGCTGCGCTCAAAATAAAGTCAACTAGGCGTAGGGCGCACCATGACTGGCCAGCCACAGGAAACTGAGGAAACGATATGACGCAATTAATTTAAGCAAACAATTATATGCATGACAACTTCTCTTATTCAGACAAAAAAGTCCCCCCACATGCACACTGGTAAACACTTCCTGACTACATAGTCTATTCAACGAGGTTTATGTCCTGCGCGCGTACGCGCTAATTTTATACCTGCTTTGAATTGATTTCAGCTCTACTTCATCAAGTTATACATTATTAATTATTTATTTAATGCTGGCATTATGTGTATGGTTGCATTTAGCCGAACATGCATTTCTTATATATAGATTGGTTACAGCCGCTAGCTATTAAAGTGTGAAACATTGCCAGTTTGTTACATTAAAAATTAACTTGCTATATAACAGGTTGTTACGGGTTTCAAATAAAACGACAATATTTATAAATATAAATCACGACTTAATTATTTTGGACTGCTTTTTCAGCCTTTCAACCTTTCAGCTAATTTTGTCACGGTTTGCGAATTATATACAATGCAGGTTATTTCTTTGCCTTAAACTACCGTAATTTAATTGTTACCCATACCAAATTATGTTGTCCGCGGCTAAATGTAGATAATGCTGAAATTAAATAACCATTATTTAACATTTGCACCAATCCAGACCTGATAACGGTAGCAATTGAACAAACGTGCACGGAACGGATAAACTAACTGGCTTTGCCAAGGCGGGGACAGTTATCGTAAAGAAACTCAGCAGCTATATAGCAAGAAAAAAATATTGCCAAATTGTGAATTAAATATATAAATTTGACAATTGCAGTTGTACAGAATATAATATTTTTGCCTTTATTACAAAGACAAAGTCCTCAAACATACACCGTACCGCAAAATATTTACTGCTCATTTCAGACCATCCAATTTATTCGGTGGACTTATAGACCCGTGCATCATTTCAATCTTAAAATATGTTTGTTTGTTTTGTCCGTCGGAAATCATGATTTTCAAACAAAGGTTACCGAATAAAAACTCCAGTTACCAAACACTGATGATGTTACAAACCAAACATGATGATACATTTATGCATGTAGTGCTATGCTATGCTGTCAACTGCATTTGCCATTCACCCTACATTATAGTTGCATTTCAGTGTCACTACCTATGTCTGTGTACTCTCATTTCATATGTGCTTTCCATCTGCGAGTACAGATTATTCGTTGCTGGTTCCAACTGTAACGAAAATATGCGGACTTCACAGAACCTTTCCCCGTTACAAACACAAAACTTTGATCGTTAAATCACTAAAATACTACAGGTTTACACGCGTGACACCTAGCGAACTTCGTGGCCACCAAATAGCGTACCCGGCAAACTGTAACATACTTGCCTTCTGCTAAGTTCCATTACCGCCGTAATGTTTAAAGTGATTTTGCCTGTTTCAGACAAGATTATTGGTTTTACACGCAACAATTTTCATGCAATTTCATTCTAATGCAAATCAGTTCAAAAAGCAGTTTGCAACATTACATTTGGCATTTGCCACATGAAAATTTACACATCTAAAACATGCCTTAATTTATAAATCAGTTTATGAAAATATAAATTTCTCCTAACATAAATACAGGAATCGACGGCGGTTAAAAATACGTGTAGAACACGTACGGAAATTTTCATTTATTGCGAAACGTCCCAGATTCATGTGCATGTCGCGCCTTGCATTGCCAGTTAACACGCACTGCCACTGCGAAGTATTTTTTAAACATGCAGTTATTATCAATCAATAACTTAGTTCTTCCACTTCACTTGGTGGAATTAATATTAGGATGTTAAGGTTTGTAATCCAAGTGAGAAGATATACATTTTAAGACCTAACCAGGAACGACTGCGAAAAATGCAGCACAAAGGTCCTCTGGTAGGAATCGAGCCTACGGCCCTGCGATTCTGGAGCAGCGCTCTAACCAACTGAGCTACAGAGGCCAGCTGTTGAGCTGTAACCGTAAGTTCATGTATACATATAGCCCGCGCACCCGATTACCTATATATATACATGAACTTACGGTTACAGCTCAACAACTGGCCTCTGTAGCTCAGTTGGTTAGAGCGCTGCTCCGAAATCGCAGGGCCGTACGTTCGATTCCTACCAGAGGTATGTTGTGCTGCATTTTTCGCAGTCGTTCCTCGTTAGGTCTTAAAATGTATATATTCTCACTTGCATTACAAACTCTAACATCCTAATAGTTATTATCAATGCCCCGCAGTGTCAAAGACTATAAGGCGTATTTCGTTATTTTATCGCTTAGCCGTGTCTTTTCCATTCATTATCCAGTCCAAACGACGTGTGTAATTCTTTAGTTTTCCGAGTTAAAAAGCACAAAGTTCGTCCTTTCCATCATGCATCACATGCCTCAGTCTACTGACCTATATAATTCTATGTACTTATTGACGCGACTGGGTATACCATTTTCGTTTTTTATCTCTCCTTTCCAGCCGCGTCTCTTTTTCTATTAATATTACAGTCACTCGAAATTTGCACATTTACACATATGTTAAGATGTTATTTAATCTGTGTCATCACGAACGCGTGTTTCCAAAACCTATATGCATTTCATAGTAATTTTAACGACTTTTTAAAACTGAGAGTTCAAGCAGTACTCGTCCGCATGTTGTCGAAATTACTAATTCTTAAAATCAATTACTTTTTAACAGGAAGATGCAAGTCTGCACTTCACAAATTTATTGAAAATGTGATGGAAAAAGTTAGCGACAATGTCTCCAAAACGAAAAGGAAAAATGGAATAACACAATGCCCTGGAACAATGATTCTTCCTCACTGCACTTGGGACAAGTTTGGAGACATTTTGGCGAATAATGGAGGACGATTATATGGACTGTTTGATGAATTAGTATCATTTTTCTCAACAATGAACATGTACAGTTCGTCAAAATCTAGCGTTCAGGATAACAGGGAATATCAAGATTTCTTGAAAATGTTCACAGGAAAAGCAAAAAACCGAGAGACTAGTAAGTTATATCTTTATACAGACAAACTGTACTATGCTGCAACAAGCTCTCTTTTAATTATTTAACCGTCCCAATGTTTGTTTTATTTCTATAGTTACTGGAAACGCTAACTTCAATATGACGCAGACAACGTTTACTTTGCTTGGCTTCACTCAACCACAGACAGCTTTACCCATAATCCACAATGCGGAAAACAATGCGAAAGGTTTTACCTCCCGAATTTTATGGTACTTCCCAAAACCGCTTTTCAGACGTCTCGCTGAATCAGAACTCACGGAAGAGGAAAAAGAAGCATGTGACTGTTGGGAAGAAAATCTAGGTAACTATTAAAACTTCACTAATAAAACTATGGAATATTATCAATCAATTTCATTAGTTCCTTAGGGGGGGGGGGCGGGGCTGTGGGCCTTGAGCTCTCCAAATAATTCACATTTGTATAAGCAAAACACACAGAAGAATTAGAAAAGTGCGAAAGCAATTCAGATTTATTCAACAAAGTGATTGAGTCCGCCCCCCCCCCCACAACATTCCCTTCTCCAAACACAGGTATTCCACTGCAAAAAATCCTTCAGCACTTTCACTCAAAAACTTTAGTAAAATGATGCACCCACAGTTATTCAAAATTTTGAGTACAATTACTCAAGTATAATTACTCGTAAATTTACTTCATATTTCGAGTCACTGGATGTTTGTAGATTATTCTACTCACGTTTTTTGAGTAATTCTAATATGTGCTGTATTTGCTGCGCCAGCACTTTCTGCACGTCGCAACATTCTTGTTGACGACATACAGTACTGCCACTGCCCTATGAAACCATAAATTATATTCCATTCGATTTTCAATTTTGGATACAAAACCACCTATATTTGGCCCAAATATTACCATGATTAATGCCTATGGGTATGCATTCCCTTCCAAAACCAACAAAAAATCTTATATCAATTTTATCATGCAAAACATATTTATTTTACTGCATTTTTGATAATCCCCACCCCCAAATTCCTTGTTTCTGAATTTTTAAAAATGTCCAATCAGTACCAAATGTCTGCCTAAAATTAATTAGAATTTAACATTTTGTATTGTATTGGAATGCCAATGAATACAACATGTCTTTAGTCGAGGAATAAAGATTTTGTTATTATGATTATTAACATTATTATTATTATTATCATTATTATTATTCTCAATTATTATGTTCATCTGTCCTCCACAACACTTATTTGTATGAATTAGAACTTATGAGAGTTCGAAAATATAATTTGGTTATTAACTATTGTGGATCCATTTCAGTTCAGTTCCTCACAGACCTCTACATAGAAGGAGAGGAAACCTTTTCCACAACAGAAGTTGGAAAGGTTGTCCATGTAAAAGTCGAAAGGCAACAAAGCCGACTTTCCACAGAGGCTAAAGATTTGTTTGCCAAAATCCATGACGATTGGGAGATCAACGTGTGCAAACAGCATCAATCCGACGTCCTTCTAAGCGGTTAGTTTATACAAAATGTTTTATTTACATATGCCAGATACATGCCAAATTTCTGTTATCTCAGCTAACATTGTGCGATAAAAATCAAAAACCGTGTACGATTTCAAGGCTACATTTCAAAACTTGTAGTAAAGGACTGATTAACCTAGGTAACTGCACAAAGGTGTTCTTGCATACATTTGGGACAGCTCTAACACCAATTACTGATTATCCTAAAAATAATTGTTTTCTCCATTTTTGTATTATTGCCACTGCATTACGTTATCATCTCTTTACTCTCTATAAATATATCTTTACTCTCTTTAAACGTCGCGATCAATTAATATTACTAATTCAGGATTAAAGTCCAATCCCACCGATCGTGATTGTTTATTCCACATTCTAATTATCTAAAGTAGTGCATGCCAAGTCAATATAATTTATAGTCAATAAAATAAGAAAACGTGGGTATCATAATATAATTGATTTTTGTGTATGCCATCAACATCTCCCACTGCATAATCATCAATATTATTTAACTATATTTATAGGCTTGTTTGCAAGAGGAAACAGTCACGTTATTAGGTTAGCCGTGCCATTGCATTTCCTTTTCAAGGCCTTTCAAAATGAGGACGATTACAAAATTCAAGACAATGCTGTCGCCAACGATCCAACCACTTCTGCTCCAGATGAAAATGACGTGCCCGAATTGACTACTGAAGACAGCCCTTCTGCTTCAGATTCGGAAAATCCGCTCCCTGATGAGGATGAACGTGATGACTGCACTACTATTGAACGTCATGCAATAGAGGCAGCCCAGTCAATTGTTAAGACGTGCCTTCATCATGTGTGTAAGTAACAAATGCTTTGCCATTGTCACATGATTTCCGTGGTGATATAACATCGCTTACGTTGCCTATTAATAGTGCACGCATGATCAGCATAGTAGCAGGTCATAGAACTAGCTCGCTGTTTTTACTGTATTCATTAAATACAAATTTCCCGTCCTCAATTGTTAATAATTATGTCGTGTAATGGCACAAAGCAAACACCACGCAATAATTGGTTGCCCATGCAAACATTCCCACAGCGGCTACAGCTAATACAAAAAGTAATCTGAAAAGGAAAATAAACATCTGTTTCTTATACCATTATCCCCTATTTCCCTTTGGTCTTCATTATCATGCATGCTTTTTGTCTACTTATGATTTTATTTTAGGTATTATGAATAACAACACAAGACTGTTAGTTAATCGAGAGGAGGATGAAGATATGCTTGATAACCCTGTTGCCTGCAGCCAATTTACAGCGGATGAACAAAAGGGATACGCGTCCATTCTATTGTGTCCTGGATCAATTGTGTCCCTAAGTCGACTCGTGGTAAAGGGAAAATTCAAAAGAGTAAAAGTTGGCAATTCAACTGGTGCAGCTGCTGCAGGAAAGCATCTATTTAATGTCATATCTAAAAAAGGGTTAGCTCAAATCGTACAGTTCAAAGTGCGCAGAAATAATACCTGGGTTAGTTGGGCAATATGTTTTTCGTTTAGCTATATAGTTCGCATGAATATTTTAAAGTTCTATATAACATGACTGTCTTTTCAGCGTTTTCAAACCTTTAAAATCTTATCATGACTTTAATGCCTTTCATTTTTAGACCCGTACTGTATGTTATTATAAAATGTATCATAACTCCCTGCCACAGATTTATTGCACACTTGTGGATCTTTGCACTGGACAAGTGAAAGTTTTTTCTGTGCGCATTTGAACACTAATCTAATTATCAAACAATTATATATTATTTTTAAAACTGTGACGCTCCTTGACTTCAGCGCATAAGTCAGGTTTTTCGTCCAGCTAACATTTTTAGCTCGTCGCTTTTTCACCTACCAAAATTCAACATTGGCACGTTTGGAGAAACCTATACTTAATGCCTCCGCAGCGACTTATGATATTCTAGTGTGCAGTACAATCCTATAGCTATACATATAAAAATGCGTAATAATAAACTATTTCAAAAATTTAGAGCAATCATATATTTAATCATTATCCTGAAAAGTCTTCAATTACGGGAATCACTGAGTATTTTGATAAAATACTCCGAAAATTGAAAAAAAATGGAAAAATTTTTTCGACGTTTCCATTAAACTATAGTCATCGTCAGGAAATGAATGATAATTCATTTCATTCATTTCCTGATGATGACTGTAGTTTAGTCGAAACGTCCAAATAAATTTTTCAAAATGCTTTCAATTTTCGGAGTATCTATTGTTTTGTATTCCGAAAAATCTTATTTAATAAAAATTTTCTTCTCATTTATTTTTTTATAGTTTATAAATCTACTGTACGAAACAATTTAATTACCAGACTGATAAACTTTTCTTAACTAGCCTTATAATATTCATTTATTGTGCCCGCTAACAGATACCTTTTGTTTCAGGTATTGTTTCTCAAGAAACAAGCTGCTCCAGATGATTTGCAAGAGAGAAAAAAGTTTGCAAATCTATTAGCTTTCTTTGGCGTAAACGTAAGAGATTACATTGCGAAGTATGAAGAAGAAAATGAAGAAAGGTTATTGTTAATAATTATATTCTAATACAATTTTTCATGTTGCCCGTTTCAAATATTATATCACCATTTTTCTATTTTTCAATTGACGTGCATATATACCCAATATTCTCGCCATGAACTAACTTATCCTGGCTGTCTGATAGCCATAACCGGCACGGAAACAACAAAGATGCAGATTGAGATGGATTCCACTACCTGAAAAATATACAAGTAAAATTCGGACCTTTCGTCTTTCGAGCGAAGGCCTTTTATCCACTAACTTCCCGACGAAATGCCTTTGCTCGAAACGTCCAAGTTTTACTTTATTTTTCACGTAGTTCACTCCCCCCCCCCCCCCCTCCCTCAATCCACAGCTTTCCGGTGTTAACGTTTTTGTGACTACCTATACGCTGGCGAATTTCTTTACGCATCAAAAGATCTCAAAACAAATATGTAACTTCGCCAACTCCTGACAATTTTTACACACCACATGTATCACACTCAAACAACTTTCTTTCCTTTCAATACTGGCTAACTTCGATTTTTGTAATTTTGATATATAAACACCTACTTTTCCATGCAATATCGATCGACTTATTAACGTTTAAAATTGAATGAACATTTTTGAAAGTGTATAAAATTAGCGAAAAACGGCCAATCAAAACATTAATACAGCAATTAATTGTGTTAATTAAACAGCTAAAATTGGTACGCACAGTTACTTTATACACCTTCCGTGATAACTTATTTAGTGTGGCTAAATGAGTTTAAGGGACAAAATTTCCTTTCTTCCTTATTAAACGTTTTTATTCTTGCAACATTATAGTCATTATTCATTATAACAATATAGAGTTGATGTTCGCGGCCATAAATATGTTTTTGACCCGACTCACTCATATATATGCCCGCGAACATCAACTGTATTACAATTACAATAACTTTATACGGTGATTGCAGTACACTATCAAAGAAAACAAATAAACGGCAAATATTTACAATAATTGCAATGCCATTTTCACGTTATACATGTATGCATGGTTATTTCGTTATATACTTGTATTAACTGCAAAATCAGTTTCTATACGGAGAAAAACAAACTAAACTGTTGTCAAAAGACAAAAAGAGGAATAAAAATAGTTTATACCGATAAATGAAGTTATAATTTGGTATAAAAAAGCTAATTTCGTTTGTTAAAGACAAGCGACCTATGCATGTTATATTTCACAGTTCACTTCTGCCACAACAGAAATAAGTCTTCTTTTTCCTTATCTTCTCCTTTGCTATTTTTACAGCTATTTGTCAGTAAAATAAAAATAACTGGTATGGCCAGATCCAGCTCAAAACATTGCTGAAAACGACTGCCGGCGGACGTAAACAATTTAAAATTCAGCATGCTATTTTAGCCTGCTAATTCATTTATTTTAGTCCGCAGAGCACGCCACAACGCCCACTAAAGTTATTTACAAAAATAAGGTTTACAAAAATAAAGTTACAAAAACTTTATTAAAATTTACCTTATTCATTTTCATTCTCAACGGTGATAGAGGAAACATCGTCAACTTTTAGTTCTAGTTATTGAAGTGAACATGCACTTCAATGAAATTCCCAATACTTACAGTATGATAAAATAGTAACAGTTTCGCAATTACTTTAATACGCTATTTTTACACAAATATTCGAAAGTTCATGCAATTTTAAACATGTGTATCTCTGTCAATACTAGATGAAAATAGAAATGTTTTACATCAAAATTTAGGTCAGCCACCATTCAATTCAAACGAATTTGTTTGACCATACTTTATTAAAACCAAAAACGTTCTTGTTTTTAGTGCATCTCACCGTTTGGAGTTCGACAAAAGAGGATCCGAAGAAGACTGCTCACCCTCACCTAATAAAGTTATGCGTGTGGAAGGCAACGTGGATGAATAATTCATAAACAAATATGATACGTTTTCGGTCTACCTTGCACCTTCTGTTTAGTGGTCATCCATACTTGCCAACAATTTTACAAGAGTGCAAATAGTATACTCCACTTCGGAACACAACCTCCCCCCACAGCAGAAATTATTTCAAAACCATCGCCATTTGGTTATTAATTAATCTGGTCCCGTACTGTCTGTACGCTTGTGAAAATGTTGCCAATTATACGTTGAACCATATATAGTATATATACCTTCACCGTTACCATTTTTTACTGATATTGCACATATTCTATATCTACTGTTATATTCATATTCTACATATTGTATAACGTAATATCAACAAAATTTCTTAATAAATATATACTGCATCATGCACATTCAAATCCTTTCGTCTCAAACTATAAGAAAACAATCTTGCTCTTTCTGCCACAACCTCTTACGTAGCTACTCCATAAATCCTGCCTACAGATACCTTACTACCAGACCGATAGCGCTATCATCCCGCACCGGATACTGAGTTTTTCAAACGTCGTGAAAATGCTTGAAAAGCTATCATACTATGGATATCGAGGGCCACGGCCGCACATTAAAGGGGGCGGGCGATGGGCCGATGTATGTGTAACACCCCACATATATATGGGATTACGATGTATCCTTTATTAGATCTAACCAGGACCAGTTGCAAAAAAAGCAACTATAGGCCATCTGGCAGAAAAGGTAAAGCCAATCAATGTTTATTGGTAAATATGATATCAGGATTTTGGCCATCTCACACAAATCCATTCAACATTTGACAGGGTGGGTTAGGCACATAAGGTCTGGAGGCAGATCATTAATGAGGTATGGACTAATAGCGGCTGCTCAAGCGCCATTTGTAAGCTCAAAGTCTACCTCGGTCTGCTTCACGTCAGTCCGGTTGATATATCTAATCATAATGTAAAACTTCTGCAATTCAGTGTATGCTGCCATGGAAGTTCTAATATACTATCTACAACTTCTAGAGAGAGATCCCCAAAAACTTAGCATGTACTCCCTCTCCCCCACCACTTTTACTACCCTGGCGTCGGTAATGATTTAAATAATACACATGCACATCTTATTTAGACAATAATGTCCAAATAAAAAAATGTAGTCCAAGGCATTAAAAACTTCAATCACGCAGCAATGGCTACTTTGGAGTTATGTAATAACTCCTACACCATTTTTCGTTGATCTCCAAACTAATTTGGATATAGTACATATATATCCTTTCTTTACTTTTGCAGTATTAACGCACAATTTTAGAGAGCTTAAATCATTATCCGGCCTTCCTACAATCCTAACAACCGACCCAGTAAGTTTAGAGTACATATATCTGCTGGCAATACAGGCAGAGCCATCAATGAAATTAAGTCTATTACATATATTTCAATATGCACATAATATTTTTGTAAAATGAATGGCCCTTTTCAAGCCTGCCTATGCGCGCATGAGAAAATGGTACTTCAACGAGAACATTCACATTTATACGCCAAACGGCTCACCACTGAATTTTGAAATTGTAATAAACCAATTTCTACTTACAATTTGAAATATACAGTATAATTATATATTCCAAGAAATTACAAAAATCGTATATAATATAGTTACCAGGGGTGGAAAAAATATTGTAATTTCTGGGACCACCAAAGGGATATAAAAACTTTCTGTGATAAATCAAGTAAATCAATACTTTGACACTGTAACTGTATAACACTAACAAGTTGTCAAACTGAATGCCATGCTATATTTTCGCAGAAAAAAATCATTTCAGTGCACTTAGAATCTTAATAATACTTTTAGGAATATGACAGAACTAATTCAGATAACAACAGGGGTCTGATCCTGAGGTAAATTTACTGATGAAAAAAAAGGGGGGGGGGATCTAGGGGCATGCTCCGCCAGAAAATGATCCAACTAATTTCGTACTGTTAAGATGGACTTGCAGAGGTCATACCTGCAGTACAGGTTGCATTCTTTCTATTGGTTAGATTTTCCCCTCTGAATTTATTCTTTTATCTAAATTTTTACAAGTATATTTTTCTTTCTGGGGAAATATTTTCTGGGAACTCAAAAGAACAATGGTCCCCTAGCCTGCGAACAGGCTCTCAAGGTTAATGGCCCGGTGGTCCGATACTTTTTCTACCCCTGATAGTTACAACGTTCACTTGTTTGAACGGCTAAAGGTACTCCCACGCATCCAAACATGAACACAAAGTAAAGCCAATATCCACACGTTAACTACACTATTTATACTTCAATTTGCAGTACCATTATTTCTGCGTTTAATATATTTCAAAATCTGCGTAGGAATTGGTATATTATACAAATGCTATATAACCAACAATGAGCAAGTAATTAAGAATACTTCTTAACTTTCAAATTGCTTCAAACTTCTCAGTTTTCAAAAGTTTCCATTCTCAACAATCTTGTTGTGATGATCCATAATGTACAAAACGAAAAACAGAAATCGCCACCTGTTCATGTGCTTCGTCATTCTTGCAAACATTGAAAACCAATGGAAAGTTTGTTCACATACTTCTGTGTTAACCTTAAAAAGCAAATACTGCAACGTTCAATAACCAATGATCATTACAAGTTACTATGCTGTATTCAAAATGAAGTGCTATCTAAAGTGAAGAGATGCCGCTAAACATAACACATACACAAAAACATCACGTACACATACACAAAAAACATACATCATAACACATACACAAAAACATCATCGTCTTGTATGCATGGTGATAAATATAATAGTTTTGTTATTGGGCGTAAAAAAAAATACCTGTGGTTCCGGTTCCCGACCGACCCTATTTTTTTCTACCGACCCTATTATTTTTCAACGCGATTGACTGTGTTGTGCGACCCTATTTTCTCCAGGTGGTTGCGGGCTGCTCATACAGCGTGCCAAAATGGGGTCTGTTGTCACACTAATTATTGAACCAAATTGTCTAAATTCGTCCATAGGAAATACGCATCTCTAGGTTAATATTGATGTTGGGACTCTACTGCAAATCGCCCAGCAAAAACCGCCAAAACCATGAAAAAATATTCAAAAAAAAAATTATTTCCGACCTACCGACCCTAATTTTTTCACGATATGAAACCGGAACCACAGGGGTTTTTTTACACCTTGTGCAAAATAGCACAATTATTGATTAGGCATACCTTTCGATCCGTTTATATGCCAGGATCTTCATCAGTGCAACTAAGGCAATACAATCATTTGCACTAATGAGGATCCCCGCCTTACGAATGGAAAGTTTGCGAAATAAAGTTTGGTCTTTTCCGTGGAATATCATCGTACATTTAAAATATCGTTTTGGTACTAAATTTTCACTGGTTATATTATACTGTTCCACGCTTGAATATTATATAAAATGGTTTACCTCGTCCAAATCCGTACATTTGTATGGATTGCAATGCTTCTTACACCACTCATCCACATGGTTCCTAAAATGGAACTTGTCCACCACAATTGTCGTTCCGCCAATTCGCTTACTAGTATCAGTAAGGTTTAACCTCTTAGGATTCTGTGCATACCGCAACAAATGGCACGCGTCATCGTAACAGATTGTTCCTATGTAAAAATTAAAAATGATTTCATGACCAGGGATTAAAATACACTCCCTAAATTGTATTGACATGAAAACGTGACTGTCCTATCAAGTCCGGAAAGTTGTTTTTCGTATTTCATTTACAGTACACAGAAAAATATTGTGACGGCTTCTTCCATCGTATGACTCTGTGACCATATCACGTTTAAGCCTCTCTAGACACCTTGACAAAACACGGGTTCTTATTCTTGGCATCAATCACGTGATATTTTACTGAAGTAGCGGTCAATCATTTAACTGAGGTCAAATAAAAAACAAACAACAAAATGGCTGTCAACGATGTAAATGAGTTCTCCGACTATTATAAAAGGCAATATAAAACAATATAGACGGCCAGCCAGCCGATCAAAATACGGCTGTCGATGGCATTTTTTGTTACAAGCAAACAACAAGCGTTTTCTTACAGGTTAAACACTGGTGAGTCACGTTTGATATGTTGCTACCTCTGATTTTAACGAACGAAGAGAAAAATTTAAGCATTTGAAAAGTTTGTCTATTAAATTATTATACTCCACAAAAAATGTGAAATTTGAAGTTCTTAAATTAGCATCGTTTATATCGTTAGAAAGAGCATAAAAAGTATATATAAGACATTTAAACGAGTAATACGATTTATTTAGCCAAATTCGAGTTATGAACACTTAAAAATAGGTAAAATGCGGTGAATGACGTCAAAAAAGCAGCTCTTTAGCAACTTTAAGTGCCTGTAACTCAAAACAGGGTTATAAATTCACCCTTCTCACTTCACTATATCTACTTCTTTCCGAACTTTCTGATTATATGGGTGATTTTAGCTGAACGTTGGTTTCAAATTTCATAGTTTAGTGAGCATAGCAATTTTAATAGGCAAAGTTTCCAGATTCTCAAAATTTTTCTCTTCAAAGCCAATATCAGAGGTGGCAACCTATCAAACGTTATTCTCCAGTATCTAAGCTATACGAAAACACCAGTTGCCAGCTTGTAACAAAAAATGCCATCAATGGCATATTTTAGAGACACTTTTATTGAGGTTGGCTGGCCCTCTAATATAAAAGCTGTCCTTTACCCTTCACACATACCCTTGACCTCCACCTCACGCCATATGAACGTCAATTATTGCTAATACTTTATTTTAGCATAACTTACGAACTGTTGACATATTGTCTTCCTGCATTATTTCATGTAAATATCCGTACACCTGGCTCTTGGACTCGCAGTTAAACATTTCTGCAATACTTATAACAATACCGCAAGGCCATTGAAAAGCAAGACAACCTAAAAAATAGTTACATCAAATTGTTTGATACTTTTATTAATTCATTAATGTGATTCAATATGTTACGTTAGCATGAGGCGAACATTGTTTTAGTTTTTTTTACGTATTTTGTGTTTTCTGAAAGTGAATTTATTTTAATTTCGCTATTTCTTTATCTTCCACAAAACGGCTAGCGCCATTCTGCAAATTTCGCGGTTTTGTTCTATTCACCTGCAGGTGAATATAACAGCTTAATACGTCAAATTTGACCAATCAACTTGTAGGATTTGTTATATCCACTTGACAATGTGCAAAAATATCAAAATATAATACGTCGTAACCAATAAACCTGAAAAATCATTCTCTTTTGTGTAAAATAGAAACATATTCCAGTGTATGTCACTAAAACCTTTCTTTTCAACAGAAATACCATCTTTTTTCTGTGTTGGTGTTGTGTACTCAGGTGAATATGATGTTTGTGATGTTACTCTGAGTGTATCCACATCGGGCAAGCTTGAAAAATATGCCTGGTCACGGTCGGAATCGAACCTACCACCTTTGGAATGCTAGCCGAACGCTCTCCTAACTCAGCTACGCGGTCAGGACGGTTCCAGTATGTGATATTTCAGAACTGATTCTAGTTCCTTCGTAAAGTAATCTAATAATCATGGAAATAAATATCGATGGAACTAGAATCAGTTCTGAAATATCACATACTCGAACCGTCCTGACCGCATAGCTCAGTTGGCAGAGCATTGGGCTAGTATTCCAAAGGTCGTAGGTTCCAATCCCACTGTGGCCAGGCATATTTTTCAAGCCTGGCCGGTGTAGATACACACTTACCAGCTGTTTTCAGGTTTTTGGCTTTGTGCTTTTCTTTTGCGGTTCCACACACTAGCTTCCTTCCTCCCTCGTTACCTTCTTCAACCATATCATCTTCTTTATCAGCAATACCAAAACCATTGCTAAATACATCAATTAACAATTTATGTTAATAATTGTTTTCTGCTGGAGTACACAGAGTAATTTTAAAAGGTGTCAGAGTATGAAAGTCTAACCGTCATCAGAAACATGCTGAAATGTAGAAACATTGGTTAAAATTAATAATTATGCTAACTATAAAAAACTTTAACATTTTTACTACTCCCTTCCACTTACTTTTGCATTTTTTTGGTGTTATTATTTTTCTCATAATTCTCATCCTTTACTAAAAAACGCAACTTCTTTCCAAATTCAACAACATCTACTACTTTAACAACATTTTTCACTTTTAAACCTCTAAGGTTTGGCGGCAAATTGCTTTCTTTTATCCATGATGTTACACCATTGCACCATTCAACCTACAGTAAATGTTTAACATTAATCCCCAGGGCAAGAATACTAATTCCGCCCGGCTATTTAAACCCAGGGAAAGGAAAGCATACGATTAAAGTTGTCCCAGAGCAAAGCGAGCAGAAAAGGCTAAAGCGCGAAAAGCTGCTGGGATACGAGCACAAACAAACGTCGTTTTCCCTATCTTTTCCTATTAAATTTCAGCGACGGCACTGGCTGGGAAATTTTGCATGGCATGTGGAAAGCGTGACACAAATATTAAGGTTATCGAGTGTCAGTTTCCTCTCTGTATATCTCTCCTCTGTGGCTGTTAAATTAATGTTTAGAACATATAGGCGTTTGGTTTGCTACATGCATGTATTATTGTATTTCTAGTTCAGAAGTACAATTTTCATAGCTGCATAGGCATTAATAAATTATACTGTATTTTTAACAAATGCTGTAACAATTATGTTTAATACTCATATTTTAACTATCGTTGGAGCTATAGTTTTATAGAAAAAATTTAAGTTTTCAATAATTTTAATGTGCCTGTACCAACATTGCTGATATTTATAAACCAGAACGTAACTTACAACAAAAATATTGTCCATAATAACATACAGTACATCAATCCACAGTGGAAAATTTCACAAAATAACTAAGCAAGCAACATCTTACCTCACAAAAATTTCCTTGTCTTGTCAATTTATTACTTAGTATCTTAATGATCATTAAATCCTCATCTGTTGACGATCCTTTCCCCCCTTCATTTTCCATAGCATTCTTATCATCTACATATTTTCTTGCAAGTCCCTCGTGACTTGGACAATACCGGATTCCCTTCCCAGGTGTGTTTGGACAACCTAAAAGAATATGGGGCAGTTACGTTCATTAAAATAAAAACAAGTAACCTTTCTGATTCAAAGCTGTTAGTATGCAAAAGTGTTTCATAATTTCAAACTAAACTGAACGAAAGGGAATGCAAGTTCAAATTCTTAATAGGCTAATAGCACAGGACATTATAATATATATATATATATACCGCACATTGACTGCATGCATGAGTGAAGCTTATTTGCATGTTTATTCGTTAATTTAACCCTCTATGCTGTGCAAGACTCTACGCTTGACAAGTAGCCTAAAATCATTGGTGTTACACAAATATTATGACATTACACAGACTAAAATAGTGTCTTAAAACATCCTGTTTAAAGTAAAGCATAATATATTACCAATAAGCACACTTCCAATTCTATCAAATATAATCTCCCCAACGTTATTGCAACTGCAAACAGTTCTTGCGTTTTTCATGTTGCCATCCAAAACTATTATCGACCCACAACCTTTTACCTTGCACCTGTGTCCTGAATTAGAATTAAGATAGATAAAATTAGATTTTGTTATATACCGGTATGTTTACAAACTGTGCTACAATGACTTTATATGCCAATTTGTAATTCAATTTTTTTTGAAGGATACAAATTTAACTTTACAATTGATACTGCCCCAAATTGTGACCAGTACTAACTTCTAGTTCTACTTTAAATTTAACTTGAATTTTTTACCTAATATATTGTTGTATAAAACTGAATCAAACCAACTCCAAACACCTATATAGATACGTTTTTACTAATTACTAAAAAAAACAGAATTGGTTTAGCATGTCTCATTCAGGCAAAATCTTCTAATTTCTGAAAATGAGTAAATTTATGCATTTTTGGAAGCTGTAAATTTAAACTGTCAATATTTAAAATGCAGCTATACTGTATACTTTTATATCTATATAATTTGAAGATGATGTCCACTCCCGTGCATATGCGCAAACTTTGTTTATGTTTTGAACTGCTACAGTACTGTATATTTCTAAAATATGATATACTGAATATCTAACACTTCTCTGCTTGGCTATGCTTGTAATTGAATGTACTAAACTCTACGTTTCAATTCAAAAAAGTTCGAAAGATGCAAAATATGGGCAATGTTTATATCTCAGCTGATATGCAGAACAGAGTGGAAATCATCTTTAATATGCAGTCCTATCATACTGTTTACTAAACAACTTACCACTCCATTTTTCCAGAAACCGTTCCCTAAAGGTTTCAGTCACCTTCTGAACCAAGACATTTCTATCGTGATCAATGTGATCAACATTTAAGTCATATGCAAAGTGCACCTTCAGAACAGCATACAATAAAAAAGCCTCTTCCAGTCTACGTCGGTCAAGACTTTTCCTCCTCTGTAACTTTTCTTTCATTTCAATTCCTCTGTTAAACCTATTTGCAACAATGGATCGAATTAATCTTACAGAATTAAAAAAAAAGCTTTTGATCCGTAAACCTGAATCTTCAATCTTAATCAGTGCAACATATATGTGTGTGCCACCTAGCATCAAACTGCTAACCATATAATTCATACAATATATATTATATGCCATTAAACTGGCACAATTTCATATGAAGTAAAACAATAAGTAGAGCACACATGAACCCATTACAGCTTGACCCATTGAATGGCAAGTAAATAAAAATTGTCTGGCATTACACAGAGTAAAATAATAAAGTAGGTGCATCAGGGTGCATAATGCCACCTAAAGGGTTAATAACTACTATATAATAGTACTCTGTTTAACCCATTAAGCGCCAGCGCTCTCCCCTTGACGAGTAAAATCGTCTGGCGTTAGACAGAGTAAAATAATCTGGCGTTAGACAGAGTAAAATAATAAAGTAGGGCGCATCGGGGCGCAATGCAACTCAATGGGTTAACTAGAGACATGGGCAGATAGGCCAGTTAACCCATTAAGCGCCAGCGCTCTCCCCTTGACGAGTAAAATCGTCTGGCGTTAGACAGAGTAAAATAATCTGGCGTTAGACAGAGTAAAATAATAAAGTAGGGCGCATCAGGGCGCAATGCAACTCAATGGGTTAAGAACAAAGTACTGTAGGATGTATTGAAGCACATTGCAATTAAGTTGCAATTAGCATGTATCACTCTGCTTAACAAGTGTGTCAGGAACACACATTCCAACCACTGGAGGTAAAAATTAGGGAGACTGTTTCAGTTTGAAAGCAAAGGGAATCTATTTTTTCTGCAAAGTTAATGAAAATTAAGTCTTCTGAAATGGCATTTCCCCTATTTTGGAAATATGTTATATGTTGTTATATAGTAGCCTGCGAGCAGGCTCTCTGGGTGAAAGAGAGCCTGCAAGGATCCCTATGATATTTACGTGCATGTGTCCAATATTTGGACGAAGAGCTCTGATTGGTTGATAACTGATTCAAATGAAGTGATTGACAAGCTTCCATAAACTACACTTCCCCTTTAAAACCGAGCAACGCAAAGCTTCGGACTTGCGGCAATGTAGAGATAAAAGTGTCATGTATTTTGTATCCTTGTTGACTTTTTACAGTAAAATAATATAGTATTCATATAAAGATGAATACTAAAAGCTTGCATGCTTTATTGTGTCCTGGGCTTGTCTGACTTCTAGGCTAAGAAAAGACTGAACAAATTTGCAAACCAAAACCTATATATATATATATATATATATATATATATATATATATATATATATATATATATATATATATATATATATATATATATATATATATATATATATATATATATATATATATATATATATATATATATTTACAGCTAATTCAATAAAGGTTGTCCTTTGCAAACCTTTTAAGGTTTAAAAGATGTCCACAAAAATGTGGAGAGGATGTCCACAAAAATCAAACATAAGGCGGCCACGACGGAAAAATCGATTTCGCTCAAATTTTGCCCAGATATACCTTATTATATCGGAAAATGCACCATATATTTTTTTAGGTCAAATGCTTTTTTAACTTTGAGAAAATGCCGTTTTAACACGACCACCCTAAATCGCCATTTTGTCTGGGAAAATATGCGCTGATTTTACCGACAAATTTCACGACGACAACCGTTTCTAATCGATCTAAAACCCTAAAAATCTTGTTTTCGGTTATTCAAAGGACCGGGTACGTGACTTACAGGAAATCTGAGTTACTTTTAGGAATAGAAATAATCGTAGTTTTGGAGCACACTATCTTACCTCATTTACGATACCCTCTTAACAAAACCGATTTTCACCATGGGATAAAGCTCCAAATCGATCATGCTTCTACTAGTTGGCTCTTTAATAAACAAGCTTTCAATTGACGTAAATACTTCTTTGGGCAAATGAATACGCGATAAACGACAGCGCGTTGAAATCGTCCGTTTTTGACGTCTTGCAAGTCAAACGCTGTTAATTTACATACCGTCGAAGTAAACAATTTAATCAAGTATTCTAAGTATTTTACCTTTTGAGAAGAAGATATATTCTTGAATGGAGACTTTTGGCCTTGCTAAGTTTAAAATTGGTCCAGAAATCCCGATATATTTGTGAAATATCATCATATACAGGTATTTTGAGATATAATATTGTTGTCAGTTGCATGATAACTTCAGATCACTGTTCAATATTGTCTACTTTTAATAGCGCTAACATACAAAGCGATGAGCTGTTTAGGGATTATATTTGTTACTAAATTTACCAAAATAATTAGAACTACAACTGCTGTTTTCAGAGGGTTTGTTCCATTTTGTCCATATTATTAAATTAATGTACCAGTTATGTATCGACTATAATGTTTACGAAGACGTAAGTTAATTATTAAGCAGGTGTTAGCGTGCGTGTACATGAAATGAACGTTTATAATGTTTATCAATATAAGGAGTTTTTATTTTTAGTTTACCAGCCCTTATATTTGAATAGCCGAATTCATATTGGGGACGCGAAACTCGTCTTAGACGGAACTCGTCTGTGAAAACCCGTCTGAATATGAATTTAGGGACGGATAAATTCGAATTTGAAGACGAGTTTCCCGTCTAATACGAGTTTCCCGTCTCCAATATGAATTCGGCTAATGTGTGTTAAAACTTCAAGGTCATTAAATCTCATTAAAATCCCACAGACCACGATTATACGTATTGATTCTTTCTTGACGATAGTAGACACGTACGCATGCATGTTGCGTAAGAGGTTATTTCGCTGGCCTCAGAATGACAAAACGTAACAAAGCTTTACACTAACCCTATTCCAAACACCAACTTTATAACTTAAATCCCTACCATAACCCTTGCTCGTTATTAAATAACATACCGTAGTAAATAATTTAATCACCATTTCTAAGTCTTTTACTTTTTCGGGACAAAAAACTACTTGAAAAAGACCAGGGCTTTAAAAATTATTTGAAGTAGATAGTTATGATAAGACAGGGGTGGCGCCAGGGCCGCCCTTGCAGGGGGGGGGGGGCAAAGGGAGCAATTTTCTCCGCGACCCCAGCTCAAGGAGGTCCGGCAAATACAAATTTGCAAGGGGGTAAAAAGTTTGTCGACGGAGGGGTGGGAGGGGAATTATTGTGGTTCACCGGGGCCCCAAAGATATAATTGGCCCTGGGCCGCCATATTTCACTGAGCTGGCCTGGGCTGCGCCAGTAATTCTCCGACGGGGGAAGTCATCGGTGCTCTCTTTCGTTCTTTGGCAATTGGCATTAAAACCACAAGAACTACCGACAAGTGACCAGGGCCGGATTAACGTCGCGCGAGGCTCGTGGCAGATTTTAGCGCGAGGCCCCAACCCCCTCCCCACCCCCACGCTCAGCCTTGTTATGAAAACCTTTGAATTTAAAGACACACAAAATTGTTAAATAATTTTTTTCAATATTTCAATTTATTAGCATCAATTATAAACGAGACAATGGCCTGCCTGGCCCAGTTGTTGGGTCAACATGTATAAACAGGATCATAATATAACAGCTCAACGCAACTGGAGATTATATGCACACGAGTATTGCATATCTTCCCGGGGCCGTGCTGGGGCCAACTGCCAAGCCTAGGGGCCCTAAATTCGCGAGGCACCTAAAATGGGTGTGTCCCAATAGAAAATGGCCGTGTTCTCGTAAAAATGGGCGTGGTACAGTAAAGCGCAATGCCCCCATAAGCGCGAGGCCCGTGGCATTTGCCGCATCTGACACATGGTTAATCCCTATGGTTAATCCGGCGTTAAACGAGCAACAAGCTTCCATTTTTTTTAAACGCGACGTGTGGGGAGACAATTATAATTTCTGGTGTCGCACTTGGGTAACATATCTCAATGCTGTATTTTTGGATTACTAGTACTTGTGTATGGTGTCCGAGGAGAGACATCAACATTTTTAATTTTTTTTGTTTTACTTCTGCATTTAATTTGCATTTAATTTATTTTTATTTTTAAAATTTATCTAATACTGTTTTTATTTTGTTTCTAATGATTTAAAAACGTTTCAATTCATTTGGTTTTAATTTGGTTTTAATTTTAAAATTAAAATTGAAAAACTTCATGTCCGAGAAGAGACATTCACGTAATTGACCGCTGACCATAATATGTGTGTTTGCTGGCTCATTCGATATCACAGAGCCAAAAATCAAAATGGCGTACCAAACAAACGAATGGATGAACGATGAAGATTTAAAATTTCAACTTGATTCCTTGGTAAAGAAAGCATATCAGAGAAGCGAAATTCTTCTTGTTATGAGAAAAGAATTCCCACAGTATGCATGGGGTTGTATAAAAACTCTTGATCGTCGACTACGCCATTTTAACATTAACTATATAAATTACGACACTCCTTTACAAGATGTAAAAAATGCAGTTGAAAATGAACTCGAAGGACCAGGAAAACTTCTTGGAGTACGAGCAATGGCAAAGAAACTTCGTATGGTTCATGATATCAAAGTACCTCGTGATTTGGTAAATGATGTAATGTATGAATATGACCCAGATGGTTTGGAGGAAAGGCAGCCATGCAAGAAAGGTAAACAGAAGAAAGGAAACTTTGTTACTCAGGGTGTCAACTGGGTTTGGAGTTTGGACGGGCATGACAAACTTATGGGTTTCCAGAACTGGACGTTTCCCATTGCATTGTACGGCTGTTACGATACTGCATCCAGAAAAGTACTGTTTTTAAAGGTCTGGACATCCAATTCAAGGCCTGAACTAATTGGTAGATGGTACTTTGACTATATTTTTGAAGCCAAAAAAATTTCAAGCATGCTGCGACTCGACAAAGGGACCGAAACAGGACTCTTATCTACTATACATGCATTTCTGCGCAAAGAACATGGAGATATGGCCCCTGAAAACACCGTCCATTTTGGTAGTTCTACCTCCAACAGAATTGAGAGATACTGGAAAGAAATACACGAGAGGATGGAAAAGTTTTTTAAGCGCCAGCTCCTAGAATTGTGGGAAAGAGGTCACTACGACCCTGAAGATGAGGATGATAGAAATATCTTGGCCTTCATATACATTCCAATTGTTCAAAGAGAAGTAAATATTTTCATAGAGTTGTGGAATAACTCAAGAAGTAGACTTCAAAAAAATACCTTAATGCCTGATGGTATTCCCAATTTTATCTATAGCAATCCTGAGGAATATGGTATGGTTGATCGAGGCTGGGAAGTGTCTCTAGCTGAACTGCAAGCTGTTGCTAGGGTTTCAGGGGTTTTAGCAGTAGAGCAAGATTACTTACCAGTTGAATTTGCAACAAGATGTTGTGCAGTTGTGCCTGAGCCAGAGAACATTCCATCAAAAGATGCTGCAAGATTTTATTTAACATTGCGCAGAGAAATAAAGCAGTAGCCCAAAGCCGCAGTAGGTTGTATTTCTACCAGACTTATGGCTGGTCCCCTTATTACATATCCTGAATACAACAACCAGAGTGCTTTTTGGATGTGTAGTGACGTAACAAAGATAATACTTGCAAAATATCACAATTGTTGTTTTCAGTCAGTGCAATAAGGGGAACTGCCTATTGAGAAAATGTCACCATGGTGATAAAGAAAGGAAGGTTCAAACAAAGAGTTTATAAGGTTAAAAAAGAAAAGATTCAGGTTTCAGAGGATTGTAATAGTAGGTTTGGGATTTTTTAGCATGCATCTACACACATGAATGCCAAAAGCAATTTGTTTTCTCCAAATACCCCATTCCTTTAATTAAATGGCCATATTTTCTTGTGCCCCAAGTTTTCCTGGTTGTAAACTTGTGTTCAGACTTGACTGATGCATTGAGTTGATGGGCTACATCATGTGTTTACCATTGACAGTGTTTTATTGTTAATGTTGTACTGTTGGGATCAACAGGTAAACAAGCTTAAAATAGAGTTCTTTCATTAATGGGTTATGGTGAAGTTGTTTACATTGTGTTTTTTTCTGACATGGATAAAACTTTCTAATTAATTATTATATCTGTAAAAAGAGTAAGATTATACTTTATTGATATAATATGAAACCCATACATGAAACTCATTGTATATATACAATATTATACATTGTATAGAAACATTGTATCATATAGATAATCATAGTCCCAAAGCTATGAAGTAAATAACAGAAACATAAGTGAGTTGAAACATGACTTACTTTAAAACAAACTGCTTGTTTTTAAAACAAGGCATTAATATGCCTAGTTAAGAACACAACTTTCTCTTCAGAAGATTAGACAATGGATAACTATCTCTCAAAGGAAACATGGTATTTAGGATCATCCTGTTTTAATCCTAACATTATACAATAAATGCTACACTTGTGTTTTTCAAAAAATGTTTCTATAGCCTCAGTAGATAGGTTACCTATGCAGAAATTCAACTGGTCGGCTCCACCAACATCACTCATTAATGCTTTACTTGCTACTTCTGGATCATACAGTTGATAACCAGTTCCTTGGATATCAACAAGTAAACATTCACCTTGGCTCACTTGATAGGAGTAATGCATCAATGTTTCTGCTTTCTTGGTAATGTCATCATCACTACTTGAAGAAATCTTGCCATTATTGTTAATATACTTGGTAAAGCTTCCCTCCAGATACCTCTCAATTGTAACAAAGCATACATCACCATTGTCTTCCACTATTTTCCCAAAGAGCATACTGTCGTAAGTAAATGTCTCACCAAAAGTTTCCGGAACATTTCTTTGCATCTGAATAGCAATGTTTTGGGCCAGTGTATGCGTCTGGACCTGCTTTCTTGCATGCTCTTCTTCTGTTAGGTTGACAGACTTCATGTCTTCCAGGGCATTTTCTTTATACTTCTTCAATACCCATTTGCCTGACAATTTTCCATCAATACTTTCACACTTGTAAGCCTTTCTGAAGCCCCCTTCAGCAAAACTCTCACTCTCCACAGACAGTGTCACGGTTTTTGCCACGGTCCACCCGTCCTTGACCGCAAATCCTTCAATTTGTACTTGGATTGTATCACGCTTTGCAGGCTGGATCAACTTTCCCATTTTTAACATTGTTGCCACTGACAAAGAAGGAGGAAAGGATTTCTGTGGTTTTGCAACACTGAATTTCGTTGGTTCAGAGCTTTGTTGTTTGGTATGGCTAGACTTACAACGTTTTGTTGGTGGAAGTTTGCACTTTAGTGGCATTGATTTCTCATCTTCTTCGTCTGAGCCACCTAAAACGTCATCGACACTATATTGTTTGTGGATGAATCGTACAAAAATTGTGCCATTAAAATTCTTGATCTCGTTTAGAGTTTCGATAGACGGTCCTCGCTCAGTCTCTAATATATCACAATCAAAACCCTTCATGTTGAAGCCAGCAATACAAGCCCTTCTCACAACATCAATAGTTTGTGGTGCACACATGTCGTCTTCAAGAACATCTACTCTTTTCAAAGGTCCCATCCGTGCATACTTCTGGGAAGATCCTTTAACTTGCGGTGCTAATCGCTGAATTGTTAATTTTTCAGGTAACAGTCGGTCTTTCCCCTTGTTTCTTTCTGTTTTTCTAGTCCTTTTCGTTGCCATGATCTTCTGATATTTCTTAAACTCTTCTTCGTCCGCCATGCTTTCCACCCGATTAGCGCGTTTGACGCCGGCTGACAGCCGGAAATTTTGTCTCCGATTGCTCGGCTGCCAGCCGGGCTGAAGGGCTGTACTATAGTATACTATTCGTTCAAAAAATGCGCGCATTTTGGAGACTGGTTCTAGAATGTTTCATAAGCAGAAAACCACCAAAATTACATTAAATTTTCCGAAAATCATCGAAATGCATCTAAATTCATCTTCCCAATGCATATAGCTAGCTATGCGACAGGTAAATAAACGAGAAAAAAAACAATTTCGGCAAAAAGAAAAATTCAAATTCGTTTGCGCGCATTCCGGGACCGAACTCACGACCTTCAGCACACACGCTGAGTCTTGTCCCTCTGCGCCACCACGTCTTACACGGAAAATATGTTAATTTATTGTATATATACAGGTTATTCTTAGCCAGCGCGATTAAAGATTGCGTAAATACGTACACCATCGTACACGGCCAAGGGTACAGTAGCAGCCGAGCCGTATCTACACTTTAATACAATACTTACAATACATCGCGGCATAGATCACGGCTTCCAGCCGGGGTTATTTAACTGTAATACAATACTACCATGCAATACGAGTGTCAGCCATGCCTGTCGGTAGTATACTGTAGTATACTACGATACTTCACGGCTACCAGCCGACAATACGGCTATCAGCCGGGCCTGTCTGTAGTATACTATAGTATACTACAATACATCGCGGGTACCAGCCGACAATACGGCTATCAGCCGGGCGTGTCTGTAGTATACTATAGTATATTACAGACAGGCCCGGCTGATAGCCGTATTGCCGGCTGGTAGCCGCAATGTATTGTAGTATACTACAGTATACTACCGACAGGTTCGGCTGACACTCGTATTGCATTGTAGTATTTTATTACAGTTAAATAACCCCGGCTGGTAGCCGTGATGTGTTGTAGTATACTATAGTATACTACAGACATGCCCGGCTGATAGCCGTATTGCCGGCTGGTAGCCGTGATGTATTGTAGTATACTATAGTATACTACCGACAGGCTCGGCTGACACTCGTATTGCATTGTAGTATTTTATTACAGTTAAATAACCCTGGCTGGTAGCCGTGATGTATTGTAGTATACTATAGTATACTACAGACAGGCCCGGCTGATAGCCGTATTGTCGGCTGGTAGCCGTGAAGTATCGTAGTATACTACAGTATACTACCGACAGGCATGGCTGACACTCGTATTGCATGGTAGTATTGTATTACAGTTAAATAACCCCGGCTGGAAGCCGTGATCTATGCCGCGATGTATTGTAAGTATTGTATTAAAGTGTAGATACGGCTCGGCTGCTACTGTACCCTTGGCCGTGTCCGATGGTGTACATATTTACGCAATCTTTAATCGCGCTGGCTAAGAATAACCTGTATATATACAATAAATTAACATAATTTCCGTGTAAGACGTGGTGGCGCAGAGGGACAAGACTCGGCTTCGGGGGCTCAGCTTGTGTGCTGAAGGTCGTGAGTTCGGTCCCGGAATGCGCGCAAACGAATTTGAATTTTTCTTTTTGCCGAAATTGTTTTTTTTTCTCGTTTATTTACCTGTCGCATAGTTAGCTATATGCATTGGGAAGATGAATTTAGATGCATTTCGATGATTTTCGGAAAATTTAATGTAATTTTGGTGGTTTTCTGCTTATGAAACATTCTAGAACCAGTCTCCAAAATGCGCGCATTTTTTGAACGAACAGTATACTATAGTCAGTGAACTAAAAATACCAAATACCAAGTTATTTTTAGTTCAATGACTATAGTACAGCCCGGCTGGCAGCCGAGCAATCGGAGACAAAATTTCCGGCTGTCAGCCGACGTCAAACGCGCTAATCGGGTGTGCTTTCAGCTTCGACACGAACTGCTGTGGAGAGACTGGGAAGAGGCAGTGATAGCCAGCAAACACACATATTATGGTCAGCGGTCAATTACGTGAATGTCTCTTCTCGGACATGAAGTTTTTCAATTTTAATTAAAATTAAAACCAAATTAAAACCAAATGAATTGAAACGTTTTTAAATCATTAGAAACAAAATAAAAACAGTATTAGATAAATTTTAAAAATAAAAATAAATTAAATGCAAATTAAATGCAGAAGTAAAACAAAAAAAATTAAAAATGTTGATGTCTCTCCTCGGACACCATACTTGTGGAATATAATAAGATCAATAAACAATAGTGTATCAAAAGAAAGTAATTTTACTGATTATTTTAACTGAGCATCAAAGTGAACACACATTAAAATAATTATTCTAAACTATTTGCTATAATTTGAGTTTGAGGTTGTAGAATATGTAATAAAATAACAAAGCTTGTATGGATTAATATTCATTTCACACGCACGCTATTAACAGCTGCTTAATAATTAACTTATGTATTCGTAAACATTTATACTCGATAGCATAGTCGATATGTAAAATGGTACATTATATGGATCAAACTGGAACAAAAGAACAACTGAAGTTCTAATTTTGGGAAATTTAGTAGCAAATATAATCCCTAAACAGCTCATCGATTTGTATGTTAGCGCTATTAAAAGTAGACAATATTGAACAGTGATCTGAAGTTTATATTATGCAACTGACAACAATATTATATCTCAAAATACCTGTATATGATGATATTTTACAAATATATCAGGATTTTTGGACCAATTTTAAACTTAGCAAGGCAAAAGTCTCCATTCAAGAATATATCTTCTTCTCAAAAGGTAAAATACTTAGAATACTTGATTAAATTGTTTACTTCGACGGTATGTAAATTAACAGCGTTTGCTTGCAAGACGTCAAAAACGGACGATTTCAGCGCGCTGTCGTTTATCGCGTATTCAGTTTGCCCAAAGAAGTATTTGAACGTCAATTGAAAGCTCGTTTATTAAAGAGCCAACTAGTAGAAGCATGATCGATTTGGAGCTTTATCCCATAGGCCTACTCTGGGACCTTAACTCGCCTTAACTCGCCCTAACTCGCCCTATCTCGCAAGAGAAAAAGATCGAATTTTGCTTAACTCGCCCAATCTCGCCTTATCTCGCAATGAGAAGTTGACAGAATTTTGCTTAACTCGCCTAAACTCGCCCTATTTTGCGATAATAACCGGCACAGTTTCACGTCAGTAAATCACAAATACTGTCAATCAAAATTCTTTAGACTCACAATACTCACTTATATATTCTATGAGTTTGGCATTGCAACTGACATCAACATACAAGTATGTAAGCCTGATTATCTGAAATGTTATCATATTTTTAATTTACTACATTCTCTGTAATGCCATAAAGCTGTATTGATCAAATAATTCCACCAACTACTCTACTTTAATACAGTAACAGGGCTGCAAATAAATATTTGACTTGACAGGACATTTGTCCGATCACTTTTAATTTTGGTCGGATATAACTTGAATTTGGTCGGACAAAAACCAACATCACTAAATTTGGTCAGACATATATACGTCACAAAATATATATGTCACAAGACAAGTATGTATAGCCATAATTCTGGTGCAACATTAAGTAAAATGCTAGAATGCCTTATTGCAAAATGCAAATTTGCAATAGGATTTTGTTACAGCAAAAAAATGTATGTGACAAATTTTTTTGTGATCAGACCAATGTCCGATCAAAATTACTTTTGCTCGGACATTTGCCAAATTTAGTCGGACATTGTCCGATGTCCGACAGTAATTTGCAGCCCTGCAGTAAGCAGGCCTTAGCAGGCATACTGTATACAGTAATACCCAATATTTAATAAATCACAGTGAAAATAATCAAACATAATAACAGAACCCAAACTGCCAAGTATGATTGAAAATTAATATTCCCATATATACTAATATACCGATCACTTATCTATTCTATTTCAACTATATACAATGATATCAAAACATCAAAAGTACTTGCTTAGCTTTTATGCAGCTATCAGCCTATCACATGACTATCAAATTTTACTAAAATACTGTTATTCTTATAGTATAAAAGGTCTCTGTGATATCAACAGCTCAAATTGCAAAGTTATTCGTTGAACTGTTTTTATATACAACCGACAACAGAGCTACTGAACCAACGATACGCGCAGAATTGTAGGAGAAATATTTTAATACACAATCACATTCACAAAATTCGTGAAAATATAGATTTACAGTAAAAGCAAAGTTAAAGGTGAATATTGTAGTAAACATACCGTGCTTGCCTGTCTGTGACCATCATTAAATTTAGTAGAAACAATCTGTAGGGACAAGGCTTTTTGAATCTCATTCTAATATCATGATATTAAAAAAACTTTAAAATGTTGATGCATATCCCGCCATATTGCCTTTGCGGAATCGAATGATTCTGACTTATAGACTGCGTAGACCTCCCCCCCCCCGACCACAGAGGAATTACCGCGATGATGGGAAAGAAGATTCCGTTTACCAGGGGGGCGGGATGCTGTCTGGGAGCAGATATTGAAAATATTGCTCCCTTCAGCGGAAAAAGTACAATCTGCTTGCAATACTTAGTGTTAGTGTTAATGAGAGGCAGTGAATTCTGAATATAAAAGCTTGATAGGAAATAGGAATATATATTATTAAAGCCGGGTTACAGTCCGTAATGTAAACAAACTCTTTGTTTACATTTTGAACTGCTATATTTCTTAAAATATTATGAACTGTCAGAAAATTTAACACTATTTTCGTTCGCTATACTTTTAAATAAGTATGAGCTAGTGTTTATGTTCAGAAATATACAAAACATGCGAAATTTGCACAATTTTGAAATCCAGTAGTCTACCTTTGTTATGAGCAGAACCGATGCGCAGAACGGACTGTAACCCGGCTTTAAGCAACATGCTATATTTGAAGCTTTAACTATATTTTCCAAAGGAATTCCCTCGAGTATTAAAACATATACGAACGTCCAGAAAGATAGACCTTGTGTGCATGCAGCACATGACTGAATGTCTGAATCGAACTAAAGTAAAGAAAATAATAATACTTCAGATTCTATACCTCAAGGTACATACCTTTTGCAATTAAAACATTGATTAACATAATATCATGCAAAGAAATCATACATGATCTTTCATCTTTATATAAATATCCAGTTGTAAGAATGATTATCAATAAAGATTCGAATGTTTTGAAAATTACACAAATTTTCACTAAGTGAGTTGTTCTCGCGTGTACCACGAACACGAAATAAACACGCAACTAGACCCAGTCCTCTCACGGTCACCTACCTCTCGTCCATAGATATAGGAGACCTAGATTGCTGACTCGGCTCAACCGGCGTGGCATATTTTGAAAATCCAAGATGGCGGCTCAACCGGGCAAAAATCACAGAGAGAGATAGGGAAAAACCATGTTTTTTGCATTTTGCGTCGTCCTAAAGCTTCCGATCGCGTTCTATCACTTTATTTTGGAAAGAACTAACTAGTGTGAAGGTTTTGGATGAAAATTTGTACAATCAGTACAATTTTATACCATGGTTAATACAAATTACGATTCAACCGGGCAAGATTGGGCAGGCCTGCAGTTTCGCGCGGTTTTCGTCTTTAGTTTCTTCCTGTGTATTCCTTCAGTCTTTTACGAGTTTTTCTCAAGTAATATTATATATTTCTAACTATTCCAAAAGCTATTACTGTTTATTTTGTTCTTTCATTGTTATTTCGACCAAAATACAGTATTTTCATCTGAAAATTCTAGGGTTTCTATTCCATCTGGGTTTTTTTATCGAAAAGAATGCTTGAAAGTCGGCCAGAATCGTGTTCAGTGTATTACTGCAAGACAGACGTGGGATGTTATTCGATTTTCCTTCCATAAGTAAGTCTATGAAACACACACACATCACATATTTGTACACTATAAGTCTATAACTTACATCATATAAACAGAATAATAATAGAATAAAAAGAATTTGTTTTGTAAATACTGTAATGACAACGTCACAACAAATGTAGTTTTGAGTTTGGCAGCTACAATATAAAACTATTTACAGTTTTAATAAAAGAATATTAGACCAAAAAAGAACTTCTTGTTTTGATGTCTGTGTTAGGAGAGTCTCTCTCTCTATATATGCATGTTGACAACAACTTTCCTTGTCCTGTTCAAAGTCAAAAATGTTTTAGTTTTGTTCACATCAGTGAACCAAAAATACATCTTTCCCTTTGCACTATTGGATTTCCTATAACCAATCCCAGCCTGCTAAAAAATGAAATGGGCAGACTCAATGCCAATCAAATATTCATTCTTGTGTGAGAAACACTTCACACCGGATGATTATACTTCACACCCGATGATTATATTAATCCATGGTGTTGCAAGGTGCCCTACTTTATTATTTTACTCTGTCTAACGCCAGACAATTTTACTCATCAAGAGGAGAGCAGTGGCACTTAATGGGTTAACTGGCCTACCTGCAAATGTGTATAGTTAACCCATTGAGTCGTTTTGTGCCCTACTTAATTATTTTACTCTGGCTACGCCAGACAATTCTACTCGTAAGGGGAGAGTGCTGATGCTTGGGTCAGCTGTCTCAAGGGGAGAGTGTCCGAAGGAAAGAATGCCGACTGCAGAGAGCAATCAATAAAATGCCAATCCAAGAAATATCTAAACGAAGATGCTGTCCCATCTACTTTTGATTATCAATGATGAATCAATCAGGTTTCTTGGAGAGAACTAGATACTAACTGTGAAGGTTTTTGATGCATACCAGACACATTAGGCAGTTTCTTCAAACTAGTTTCCATTGAAAACTTTCTTTGTCACTAGTTCTCTCTACAAACCTGATTGATTCATCACTTTTCACTGTCCAGGCCCTATAGACTTGAGATCCCTTGACATCTGCAGCAGCAAGGAGGTTGTCAAAGCCACACTAAACAGAGCATCAGAATTTTCGCACCAGCAGACCAAATAAATCAAGTAAAATAGGCTTTAACTTCAAAATACTTCACAGAATTATTCCTTGTTAAATATCCCAACCGAGATCCTCGAGAAAAAAAGCACCCAAAGAACCAAAACCTTTATTTTCTGCAACAAAATGTCTCGAACTGCTCAACCGACCATTGTGACGATTTCAGAAAACATTTAGCGATCGATTATTTCGTCTTTATTAAACTTAAATTGCACAAATATTCATCCAAAACCTTCACACCAGTTAGTTCTTTCCAAAATAAAGTGATATAACGGGATCGGAAGCTGTAGGACGACGCAAACTGCGAAAAACATGGTTTTTCCCTATCTCGCTCTATGATTTTTGCCCGGTTGAGCCGCCATTTTGAATGCTCATGAGTGTCACGCGCGTGCATTATAGAAAACATTAGAGTCAGCAATCTAGGTCTCCTATATCTATGGAAAAGACCCTGGTAGATGCTGGTCACGTGATCTGCTAAAATCTAGCAGATTTTTAATTAGCAACCAAGACAAGGTCAATAAATATTTGATATTTGGATGATTTTTATAGTTTAGTTTATAATTTGCATTTTGTATAATTGTCGTAAAGGAATCCAAGATAGTTAATTAGAAATCTGCTAGATTTTAGCAGATCACGTGACCAGCGTCCACCAGGGTCTTTTCTCCACAACCTAGGTTGCGATGGATATGCATCATGCATGCATTATTGAAGATGGCGGCATGCATAATTATTTTGTTTGCAATGAAGGGTAATATCTTTTACACCAAGAACGATAAAGAAAATCTGTAATAAGATTCTGAAATTTATCGAGCAGTTCTTGTTTTAATTAATTCAGTCAATCTAGTCCATCATAGTCTTATTGATTACTTGTGGCGTTATTTTCGAATAAATAATGTAACCCACAGAAACGTTCTGTCCCTTTACGTGGGAAGTGCAGTCATAAATTGCCTATCCGTTTGCTTGAATGCCAAAAGAAAATTGAACAGAATACCTCCACCGTCGCTCTGCACAAACTTCAGAATATTAACCAATTTGTTTTGAGGTTTAACCAACTTGTTCCTCAATGGCTCTTTTTTGTATAAAATCACCAGACATCATAATTCATACGTCAAGTTACCGTGCAGGAAAATGCATTTTCTGACATTCCGTTCATTCCCTTTTGCATTATCATCTTATATCTAATTAATTTTATCTTTAAGGTGTTTACACATTCGATGCTACTGGTTCTCGCTACCAAGGTACATGGACAAAAGGTCGTTGTAAAGGTGCTGGTGAATTAATTCACGCTAATCACCGCTACTCTGGTCAGTTTGCAGACAACTGTATGAAAGGCAAGGGAAAATATTTGTTCGATATTGGCTGTGAACAAGTGGGAGTGTATAATGTCCAAGAAGATCAAATACAAGGAGAGACTGAAGAAGATGAACCTACTACTATACTTAAAGCATTGTGGAAACCAAAATCATTGGCTGCTATTGAAGGACAAACATCTTAAATAAAGTTTAAAGCTGTACAAAGCATATCTTATTACGTTCTAGCCTGTGTTCTTATTCCAACAACCCATTACACAATTGAACCATGTACCGTGATGCACAGAGTAAAAGATACATCCTTTTCGATTCTTTTTATGTACGACACGTCCACAAATTCATGCCCATTCTGGTTTTGTAACAAATTTAAACTTTAAAATATTCTTACGTACATTCTTATAGATTACGGAGTACAGTGCACAGATTTCAGTTGTTTGTTTGTTTGTTTGTTTGTTTGTTTGTTTGTTTGTTTGTTTGTTTGTTTGTTTGTTTGTTTGTTTGTTTGTTTGTTTGTTTGTATTATAGGATTTCGAACGGTGAGGGTATGATCGTGAGCGAATAGCATTATCTTAGCAGATTGCGCAAAATTTAGACACAATTTCTGAAAGGACATGTAAGATTAAGTTAAAAAGAATACAATCCAGTACGATCCAAAGGGTTTTTAGAGGCAAATGCGAAATGTGGTCTTGATTATGACTGATTCGTCTAGGCAATAAAGGTAAATAATGAAATGTTTCTTCTAAAAATATTCACCTCCATTTACTTGAACTGATGAACAAATTACTTGAACTGATGAACAAATTAAAGTTGATGTTTTCTTGAAATTGTCCCATAGGGAGGACGGCACGATTATAGACGATGAGCGAGGACTCGTGGGGGTCTCGCTCAGTAACAGACAGGGTTAGCGGTTAGGGTTAGCGGTTTGGGTTAGTAGTTAGGGTCAGCATTCATAAACAGCGAGACATTAATCTATATAACCAGACTGAATATTAACTTAATAGAATGTCCGCAGACCAATATAGGTTGCATACCACACTTAGGGGCTGATTACGTAGAACTTTTTCAACCTCAGGGCTGAAATTAGATCTGTTGACCGGGCTAGCTGGAAATTTTTTTCAATTACATGGACAATTTCAACCACGGGCCTGAATTCATCCCTGTTGACCGGGTTGAAATTTTCAGCCCTGCCTTATTATAACACTCTCTTTAAATCGAATGCGTGATTACATGGCAAAATTTTCAGCCCAGGGCTGAGTTCAACCCAGGAGCTATACCCAAATTGAAATGAAACAATTATACAATTACATGGCAAAACTTTCAACCCCAGGGATAATTTTGACCCAAGGCAAAATTTCAACTCGTGTAGCTCAAACAGGGCTGAAATTTCAGCCCTGCGCTGAACTCAGGGCTGAAACTTTTGCCATGTAATCACGCATTCGATTCAAAGAGGGTTTTATAATAAGGCAGAGCTGAAATTTCAGCCCTGTCAACAGGACTGAATTCAGCGTCGGTTTGAAAAAGCTCCATGTAATCAATCAGCCCCTTAAATTGAATGTGGCATGTTGCGTTCTTAATGCAACGTCCACCTCTAATCTCACACTCTGAAATAGTCTCACAATAGAACACGTTAAGTGTGACGGGAGTCTAATGCAAATTCATTTAACAACACATGCAGTACAGTGATCAGTATAATCCAATCATTATATTTGGAAGGAAAACTAAAGTTAACCAAAATAGAGTTATTTCTAGGCATAGCCTGTCGAAGGGAAGATGGCTGTGAATATAGCTCACATTTTTACTCACTACCTATGTTAGTCAACGTTTATTCTTCAATCCGGTCCTTCACTGCACGTGTGTATTGTATTTAGCCAAATCCGCCAATAGCAATTTCCCTATTGCCTCGCGTCACGGATAGGTAACTTTCCTGAACATTGCTATTGGGCAAAAATACAATACACACGTGACCGTGAAGAACCAGATTTATGTATAAACGTTGACCAACATATATTGTTATTCTATTAAGTTTCACAGCCATTTTCCCTTCGATAGGCTACGATGTATGTTAGCCATGAAATTTTAACCAGGGTGTCTTTAGAGTGTATAAAACTAAATTAAACTTTCGATAACTAGAATCATCCTCGGTCCGAGGATGTAACTAGAATGAAAAGTCTATATCCTAATCTATTTTGCACAGTTAGTGAACTTAGTCTGCACCAGACAATGCTAATGGTATCTTAATCAAAGGGAAAGCCTATGAGTAACAAAACAAAAACTGTGAGAGTTACGTTTCACACACTTCTCGTTTGGAGCACTTTGCTTTGATTAGATTATTATTAAAATTCTTGAATGGCAATTTTACAAATTAAAATTGAAAAACTCAAGATACAACAATTTCTAAAAAAGTTTCAATAAGAGTTTGAATAAAATACAGCTAAAAACTTAAAACATGAGTAAAATTTAACTACTCGCCCTGAATGGCGTCCCACTTCTTCACACAGAACGGCAAGAAGCTATCACTAAAACGTTTGGCACGGGATTTAAACAGTGGAATTTTGCGTGCGTTTCTGAAGTTGTATTGGTGGTGTACTGGCTTCGGTAAAAGGTCAAATAGTTTACTTGTAGCGTTTAAATTGTTCTTATAAAAGGACTTGCATAATGACTCTCTTCTGTCAAAAAGTGTAGGTAGTTCTGTTAGACTTTGGGTGCATGTACGACAAGGAAGGGCAGATAACTTTAGTTGCATGTCGTTGGATATGTTCAACTTGATCACTTAGGAATGACGGTAAGGAAGAGTGCCATACCGGACAAGCGTACTCCAAAACAGGTCGGATAAAGTAACAATACACTGAACGGAGATTCCGTGGATGGACACCATTACGTTTCAACATTCTCAAGGCGAACAAACGCTTACTTGCCTTGGAACACACGTAATCGATATGTGTATTCCATTTGAGATTTGAAGATAATTGAACACCCAGTAACTTTGCGGTATGCACCACCTCGATAGGTCGGATATTAATGGTCAGTGGTTCGAGCGAGGGCTCACAGGATGCAATTTTCTCAGCCTGATTGACAAACCTTTTCCACCTCACCACAAACTTTTTAACAGAAACACAGTTAAGGTCAGCTATAGTTGCATGAACAATGTGCATCATTACTCGACACAATACACGCATAATTAGGCAAAACCTGCTACAGAGCGAGGACACAGACAGTTGCAGTTGTAAAATGTAGGAACGCATGCCCACTACAGGAAACTGTCACAAGCAACACAAACAGCATAAAACACTACATCGGCATGACATAAACCACCTTTAAAGAGCGATACTGAAACCACAATAGGTCTTTGAATTACAAAAAGTGTTCAATATATTCAAACGATACAGAACTTTCGAAATATATTTGGAAATTAAAAGAAAACAAAACAAGATTTCGACTTAATCTGGTCAATACTAAAACGCGCTGTTTCTTATCTATAACTATATCTATCTATGTATATTATTATATTGTTCACAAAAATTTTCAGTTGGTCTAACTAGTAAATATCCAAGCAGGACATACACTGGATTTTGTGAAGTAAGATGCACAAAATTATAAATATACAATTGTAATTTAAATAAATGATTTACTACATTCATACTGTATATATCTATATATATTATATGGATTTGTTTTGCGCCTGAGGTAGGCCTATATAACCAAGAAAATACTCTATAAAATCAGTGAGGTTGCGGGATATGACCGTCAACGTAAAAGTTTCTTGTAGCCTTCGGTAACATGACTTCGATTCCATCCATTTCTTTTGTTAAAATAATTTGACAACCTAAAGATTTCACCAATAATGCAATATAATATAACTAATATATGATGACTAAGCTTAATTTAACAGCTGCGATGATAAATACTGAACTACAAAATAAAATATTGTTGGGGCTGTTGCATGTGCAAAATATATTTATATACTTTTGCGTCTTCTACGCAATACAGTAAGTTTTCCTTTCATTGTGTTAATGAATTCTACTCGTCCTACAATCAGGTTCCTACTTCTCGTTCGTTCGTACCGTAGTTTATCGTACTATCCGTTTGAATTACAGACAAAGATGAAAACGCGTGAAGTTCTGCCCAGAGTGCCTGGTCCGACAGGAGAGGTCTGTACAAGTTTCCCAATGGAATTAGAGGAATGTTTTACTCAAGTCAATATTGCGCGTTACTTTTTATGTAAAAATCTGTTCGTTGGTTATGTTTGTCTGGTAATTGAACAAATTTTCTAGACAATCTAATTACTAATCACAGATCAATTGTCATCAGTGGATATGTCGAGGCTTGAAAGTAAATCACTAATTGACATATAACTTACTTAGTCTTGAATTTTCTTGTAAAAATGGTGCCAAATCTAACATATCCTCCTCTCTGAAATGATAACGAAAGTGTTACCTTATAATTAATTATTGCAAGTATCGATATATAAAATCGATATTTAGCTGTCTTACGCATCAGTTTAAGTTACTGGATAATTCTAGGCCTGCTTCTTCTACTTTTTGACTCACGGATGTTGCGGAGCAACATGTGAGTCTCCGTGGTTACTTGAGTGTGGGCCAGTCGAACAATGAGAAATGACCAGCCTGCTTTGCGCGCACTGTTTGCCTGCAAATTGGTGCCCGTTTGCAAAAACAACTGCAAACTGTTCTAATTCTTTCTGTCACTTTCATTTGATCTCATCCTGACTCGGCCTCAACGGCCCTTGATTTCTACTTTTTGACTCACGGATGTTGCGAAGCAACATCTGCATGTGTCTTTGTGGTTACTTGAGTGTGGGGCAATTCAACAATGGGAAATGACCAGTCTGATTTGCGCGCACTGTTTGCCTGCGAATCGGTCCTTTCAGACTCGGAAATCGGGCTGGAGCGAGCACGCGTTCTTTCTTTTGATTTGGCAAAAGAAGCACGGCAAATGGCAAAATTCGCATGGTGCCCGTTCGCAAAAACAACTGCAAACTTTCTGTCACTTTCATTGGATCTCATCCGTGAGTCGGCCTCAACGGCCTTAGATTATAACTTATGATTTGAAAAGTCATACCCTTCTTCAGGTTCAGGTAAAATATCAAAATACTCTTGTTTCACGTAGACATGGCATGTTGAACACGCCAAGGAGGCTTCACAAGCACCTAAACAGAAAATATAAATCAATATTGCAAAACTAACATAAAACTATCGTTCCCCCAGGGAGAGGTAAGAGACTTGCAAAATAGTTACCCAGGGACCGGTTGTATAAAAAAGTGATTAAAGTTAACTACAAAATAGTGATTCAAAAAGTGATTAAGAGTTTTATACAACCGGCCCCAGTATTTTAGAAAACAACAATACAAGAGAAAGCATCAGAAGCTCGATATTTAAATTTACACCTCTGAAGAAGGGGATTGGTGAAAATTTCTAACAACAATTATAAAGTAGGCTGGCTATTAAGAATGACAACCATATATTTCCAAGAAATATTTGAGGATCCTGTGAAAAGGAAAGGATGATCAAACAACAAAGAACTTCGTAATACGGGTTCTATTGTATTCAAATGTTTACATGTACTTTTAACAGGGGTAGATAAAATTAATTAGGACCGCTGGGAAAGACAATCATATAGGACATCAGAATCAAATCATGTTTCTTGCACACACACACACACACACACACTTAAATTCTATACCTTTTAGAAAGAAAAGATAAAAAGTAAACTATCTTTTATAATTTATATTTTATTATGCATTTCACTATCAGGCCATTAAAATCTTATGATGCTTAACTTAAAAATGCAACTTACAAGTTGTAGAGTACAACTACTAGGTTTCAGTCCATCATTGTTCATGACAATTCCAGTTTAAATCATTTGAAGTTTCAAAGTCATTGATGTAAAAAGTTAAAAAGTCAAAATACTAACTCTCAGTTGTTGGGCACATATTGATTGTCAGTAATTCATTTTATTGGGGAAAAAGAATGCAGCCACAAAGAATGAAGACGATTCAGCCGCAGCTAGTATATAGAAATTCATGGTCCATATCATTTTTTGATTTTGCAATTTTCATGTGTCCAGACATTTTGCAGGAACAAAATAGTTATTGACCCCAGGTCTTCCAACTTTGATTGTGAATTAAAAATGAGTGAGAATGAGTAATATGGCACATCCCTTTCCCCCTCCTAGCTGACCCACCCCAATATGCTCATATATCAAGCCACAGATTGAAATACAATTTCCACAATTTCCAATCCTGTTTGAATGAATGAGATCAAACAGTCAAACTTCAATCATAAAATTCATTCACAAAAATACAAATTGTGATTGAAAATATTAAATGTTAAAATTTTAGCACTCTTTGACTTCTGGTAATGCAAAATAAAAGGTCTAGAAATACATTCTCTTGTAGCAATTAATTGAACAAAACATTGAAGGAACATCAATCATAAAGACTTGTTTATGGAATCTTGCAAAGAAAATGCAGTTATGTGTGTGAACGCAAGATAGCTGCCAAATGCACATGCTGTATGCATGTAGCCTGCGTGGCAGGCGGTTTTTAGGAAATACCGCCTGCCGCAAAACTGGGTGTAAATGAACTACCGCCCCTGAAGCATCAAGCTATTTATAAATGTCATTAATCAAGTAAATATTCAAAATAAGCCACTCCCAAGTTCCTTTTCTGTGCCCAAGTCCCAACATAAAATAAATTCCTTGATATTCATCACCGCCCGACTGAATTTTATTAAGAGCCTCGTGAAAATGTTTTATATTTCGTCATACAATATAAATCTCTCATTATATTAACTATGTATATAAATGTACCGCCCGACAAAATAATTCAAGACAGTTATATAAGTTTTTTATATTTTATATTGGGTTTTTAGTGCCATTTTAAACTTAAAATTTCAAACAGAATATTGAAAGAAATTTCATTGTATTTTAATTTAAAGGAACCTCTGTCATTCTGTCATTGTTCGTGAGATACGTTGTCACATTCGGAAATCACAGAAATATTAAATGTTTTATTTATTTTTATTATTTATTTATTTATTTATTGATATATAAATTTGATAAATATAAAATATAATAAAAAAATCTCCCGCCGTCTTCGACATTTTCAAAGTGTAGACAGTGATAGAATCAAGGAATCTATTTTATGTGCAGCCGTTAAACCAAGCCCGTTTAGCTTAAACGGTGGTTAAACTCAAAATACAAAGCATGCAAGTCTATACTATAGATCCATTCAACAACCAAACTAAAAGTTTTGATATACATATTCAACGAGATATATAAAAGTGTTATTTACTGCCAACCGGCCCCTAGTTACTTTGGAGGTTCGTATCTATTAGTTTACTACATAAATTTAATAGTATCTTTGCCTTTGGTTCGGAACATGCTAGACGTCTATGTCTGCCAATGTAGATCAGTAGATGAAAATCCCACCGTTTGATTCAGTGAAGAAATATATCTCAATTATCTATCGACAGTTTTAGTAAAATATCAACATTATCGCGATTCATGCCCTTTGAAAGTCAAGTGAGATCGTATATTATCAAATTATACGCATGCAATTGTAGGAACGAAAATATAGACTTGCCATACCTTTCGCCGATCATAATTTCGGCCTCTTCGGACGTATCCTTTTCGTTTATAAATATTCTTGTTCGAATCGCTATGAAAAACACTATTTAGAGTGTTATTTTTGAGCTTGTATCTTTAGGTTTGCTTCTTTTATTTATTTAATATGGTATTCCATTTCTGGTCTGACTTGCGAGTTAATTTCAAAACGTCAAAACATTTGGTTAACGATTAACATTTAACCGATTTAACCGTTGATTGACAACTACATAAAAATACTAGCCAATCAGTTTTTTCCGTTCACTGGTGAACGGGATAATTCATTTACACCTGGTTTTGCGGCAGGCGGTTTTTCTCGCCTGCATTTTTCCCTTCCCGCGCCTCGCCTCCCTAATTTTCGTTGCCCGCGCCTCAACCCCAACCCTTAAAACCGCCAGCTACGCAGGCTATATGCATAAGACATGGAAGGTCTGGACCCCTGACTGGTACCTTCAATTTCCACATTATGACGATGTGCTAGATACATGACATTATCCCCAAGCTTTCCTTGGATTGATTTAGTTTCACCATTTTGATCAATAAATTTCACATTAACACTGCAAGATAGGAATATGGAACAGTCAAATTTACTATAGTACAGTAGCTAATAATTAACCCATTGAGTGGCAGCACTCTCCAGTCACTCGCCCTGATGAGTAAAATCGTCTGGCATTAGGCAGAGTACAATAATAAAGTAGGGTGCATCTGGCAGCTCTAGTGTAACTTAATACTTGCCCCGGGCAAGTGAATATCATGACGGGTAAACGTTTTATCTTGCTTATAATTGCCTGATTGGGCAAGTTAATTGCCTTACCACAAAAAGCTTGGCATATCTTTAGGTTTAAATATGTTTTTACTATAATTGGATAAATTTTTTATATTGCATGTACTTGATTCAAATTTTGTTTTTTTGTGGGCCAAAGCTAGATTTGAGGCAGTATAACATAGCCATATAGAGCAGTGGGAGAACTGGTCAACATGTTGTCCCCTTAATTTATAGCCCCTAGGCCCCTACCTAGGTATGTATATCCCAGTGGCCATTGTCTGATGGCAACTGATTTTCATGTCCACCTTGCCCTGAGGGCAAGTTAGATATATATATATAATATATATAATATAATATATATATATATATATATATAATATATATATATATATATATATATATATATATATATATATATATATATATATATATATATATATATATATATATATATATATATATATATAGTACGGTACATATTATATGAATGGAGGTTAACAGGGAATTAAGATTCACTTCTGGTATATTAATTAATGGTGTTGTATTAGCATATTATTATTATATATTATTAGCATAAATCGTGATATGTACAGGGTGTATAAAAAAAAACGCAACCTCGGAATTTCCTAAGAAATCACTTTGCAATTCTTAAGCATAAAAGATTTTAGGCCCCTGGGAATTGAAATCGAATTGCTAATAGATGATATTACTGTTGTTGTGCATTAAATAAATGCATAAATTTTGCTTTATGCACTCGCGTGTGCAGTAATTTTGACAGTTGTGCTATTTTAAATTCCCAGGCGCCTAAAATCTTTTGTCTTTAAAACAATGTCGATTTCTTGGGAAATTCCGAGGTTGCGGTTTTTTTTATACAGGGTGTCTCAAAAAAACCCAAAATCATTGAAATTGACGTATTGTTCGATATTCAATGCCCTAGCACTAAGTTAATCCCACGAGTGCATAAAAGATTGACATAACTGCTATAATGAATGGTAATACTCAGCGTAAACTTGTTATGTCAGGCATAAAGTACTAAACCCACGAATGCATATTACGCATATTACAATTTACGAAGCATTTTTAAATTCCCATGAGCAAACAAACGTTCACTTTACAAAGATATTTTAATTTTTTAAAACAAATTAATCACCCTGTCAAAATCCTTTGTGTTACGGCATTGAAATTCGAACAATACGTTATTTCAATGATTTTGGGTTTTTTTGAGACACCCTGTATATAAGTCCTGAACTAGTATTAAAGTCAAGTTACTAACACAACATGGTGGCATCTTGTTACAGAGCTTGTAAATGAAGTAAGAGTGGAAGAGCGGTCGGTTGACGACTTAGAGGCGCCACTAACTTCTTACAAGACTCTGGTCCCTTGATTGCGTTAGAGATAGCCAGAATGGCATCTTTTCAAGTGCAACCGCCGGAAAAATTTACTTTCAAGCCAGAAGATTGGTTGAAATGGAGTCGGAGATTTGAGCGATTTAGGATGGCGTCTGGTCTCGAGAACGAAAGCGAAGAAAGCCAAGTTAATACCTTGATTTATTCAATGGGTAGCGAAGCGGACGATATTGTGCAATCTCTCGGTATCGCTGAAGGCGACCAAAAGAAATACAATGTTGTTAAAAAGAAATTTGAAGATTTTTTCATCATCAAGAGAAATGTAATCTTTGAGCGAGCTAAGTTTAACTTGAGAAGCCAGTAGGAAGGAGAAACCGTCGACGTGTTTATTACGGACTTGTTCAACCAGGTTGTAGAACATTGCAATTTCGGTGTTTTATGCGAAGAATTGATCCGTGACCGTATTGTTGTTGGAATTCGGGACAAAGCGTTGTCGGAAAAGTTACAGCTCGAAGCAGACCTAACCCTAGAAAAAGCCGTGAACTTTGCCCGACAGAAAGAAACTGTTAGAAAGAGCAAGGGTTTCTTCGAGACGACGGCAAACAGCAAATCGACTATGTGGGCCTAGGGAAATTTGCAAAAATAAGAAAGAATGAGAAATCAAACTTCAATGAGCAAGATAAAAGCCAAAGACACAAAGGCAACGGAAAATGTCGTAGGTGCTTAGGACCTATGCATCCTAAGAGAAGCTGTCCAGCAAACGACTCAAAGTGTCATAAGTGTGGCAAGATTGGTCACTGGAAAAGAGCGTGTAAAAGCACAGCGGTCAGTGAAGTCAGCCGAGACACAGGTAACATCTTTCCAAATGAGTTTTTCCTAGGCGAAATAGTCGTAGAAGCATTGAAGCTGAACCGTGGAAACTGGAAAGCAAATCTTACAGTGAATGATTGTAAGTTTCAATTTAAGCTCGATCCAGGTGCTGATGTAACTGTCGTTCCAAAGCACCTTTATGATAAATTGTCAAATAAACGAAAAGTTAAGTTTCAATCAACTGATAAAATACTATTAGGCCCTTGCAATTATCGTCTCAATTGTTTGGGAAAATTCAATGCTAGGATAACCTCAGAGAATAAATTTATTCTCGAGAAAATTTATGTTGTGAAAGATCTGCGTAAACCATTGTTAGGCAAATCAGCATGTGTATCATTAAATTTACTTGGTAAAATCAATGAGGTGGAAAATTCTAAAGCACCAGAAGAAAGCAAATATAAGCAACAAATAATAGGTCAATATCCCAAATTATTTAAGGGCTTAGGAGAGCTTGGAGGGGAATATGAGATAAAATTAAAAGAGTTGCCAGAACCTTTTGCTTTGAATGTGCCAAGGAAAGTACCTTTTCCCTTACTAGATAAAACCAAGAAAGAAATCGAGCGAATGTTAAAAATAGGCGTTATTTCCAAAGTAGATCAACCAACAGTCTGGTGCGCCCCCATGGTAGTTACACCAAAATAAAATGGGGGAGGTCCGAATATGTGTTGATCTGACCAAATTAAATAAAAGTGTTTTGAGAGAAGCGTATCCTCTCCCATCAGTTGATTTCACACTAGGGAAGTTATCAAAATCTAAGGTATTTTCAAAATTAGATGCAAATAGTGCCTTTTGGCAAAGAAAGCTCTCAGAATCCTCACGTTTACTAACTACATTCATTACACCTTGGGGACGATTCTGTTTTAATCGGCTTCCATACGGCATTTCTACTGGAAGCGAACAATTTCAGAAAAGCATGAATAACGTCTTAGAAGGGTTAGAAGGGGTTGAGTGTGAGATTGACGACTTATTAGTCCATGGAGAATCACAAGAGCAGCATGACTCTAGGTTGCATTCAGTTTTGCAGAGACTACAGGAGTCCAAACTTACTTTAAACAGGGATAAATGTGTATTTAGTGTCTCCACGATTAAGGCATTAGGTCATGTTATTTCATCTAAAGGGATATCCCCAGACCCTGACAAAGTTAAAGCCATTTTAGATATTCCTGTACCTACAAATGTTGCCGAAGTTAGATCTTTCATGGGTATGGTGAATCAATTTAATAAGTTTACAAGTCATCTCGCATCCAAATCAAAACCACTCAGAGATTTATTATGTAAAGATTCTGTTTGGTATTGGGGCGATAAGCAAAATGAGTCATTTAATGATCTAAAGAAATGTTTAATTTCTGTCCCAATTTTGGCTCTTTATGACCCAAACAAAGAAACTAAGATAAATGCAGACGCATCTTCTTACGGTATAGGAGGGGTAGTCTTGCAGAAACAAGAAAACAATGAGTGGAAACCCGTTTCTTACATTTCACGCGCACTTACAGATACAGAATCTAGATATAGTCAAATTGAAAAAGAATGCTTGGCATTGACGTGGGCGTGCGAGAGATCGAGTGATTATATTTTAGGAAAATCATTCTCAGGAGAAACTGATCACAAACCATTAGTACCATTACTGACCACCCATACCCTAGACCAAATACCACCACGAATCCAAAGGTTCAGAATGAGATTAATGAGATTCAACTTAGAGAAAATGACGCATGTACCTGGTAAACAAATGTACACTAGTGATGCCCTATCGAGATTGTTAAAACCATTCACTAAACCAGATTGTTGTACCGTGCCAGAAGACGACATGAATGCGTTTGTTGAAACTGTGATTAACTCATTGCCTGTCTCAGATAAGAAACTGAAAGAAATTATCGAAGCTCAAGAAGAGGACGAAGTGTGCAAGAAAGTTAAGCAATACTGTCTCGAAGGATGGCCAGACAAACATATGGTTCCAGATGCTGTGAAGTCATATTGGAGAGAAAGAGGAGAACTTACGGTAGTCCAAAGCTTAATTATGAAAGGAACAAGAATATTGATCCCATCCTGTATGCGATTGAATGTCTTGGACAAGATTCACGAAGGACATTTGGGAATTACGAAGTGTCGAGAACGTGCAAAGCAGTCGGTATGGTGGCCGGGATTGAGCACCCAAATCCAGGATATGGTACAGCATTGTCGAACATGTGCTATGCATATGGTCAATAAACCTGAACCGTTGTTCCCTACATCGTTTCCAGAAAGACCATGGCAAACTTTGGCAATCGACTTTTTCAAATGCGAGAACATTGATTACTTAATTGTAGTTGATTATTTTTCACGGTATGTCGAAATCTGTCCTATGAAGAAGAATAAGACAGCAACCGAAGTTTGCAGAGTCTTGAAGTCCATTTTCTCGCGACATGGTATCCCAGAGAGAGTTAAATCAGATAATGGACCCCCTTTCGATAGCGGCGAGTACCTCCATTTCGCGAACGAGTGGGGATTCGAAGTTCGTCACAGCAGTCCGAAGTACCCTCAGTCAAATGGTGAAGTAGAACGAGCCGTACAAACCATAAAGAGACTGCTCAAGAAAGAGAAAGATAAAGAAAAAGCTTTGTTAGCTTACCGATCTACACCGTTATCCTGTGGATATTCCCCAGCCGAGTTGCTGATGGGAAGGAAGATTCGTACGATACCAACATTCCATAAAGCTAATGAGAAGCTAATGCGCATGCATGCCCAATTTCTATCTTGACAATACGTGTTCTTTCCCAACAATAACGCGAAAGTGTCAGAACCACTTCCAACCAGAGCATGCCAGCTACCCACAGTAGATTCGTCGTGGGAACACTAATGTGGCCGCCATTGGCTTCATTTATGCATGGCAAGCAGATCAATGAAACAGCTTCTTATAATATAGTCATCTTTCTCCCCCCGGTTACATCAGGTGCTGCCATAGAAATAGTAGATATCTATTATTTCTATGGTTGCTACGCACTTGAATTTGTCACACAGCTGCAACTATACAAATTAAACGGTAATTTTATATTTTAAACTTGCAACAATCTTTGACATTCGCATTCAAGGGTATCATGTACACACACCCACCAGCGAAAAAATATGATAAAGTTTTTATCTTTTGGCGTAGGAAGAGAAACTGTTTAGACTTTAGTAATTAATGTTAGGATAGAGTAGTTTCAACACTCATTAATAATGAAATTACATTTAATTAATATTTATATTGCTAAATTACTGTCAACACAGCAGTAGACAGTTTCCAAGGCCAAGGGCGATATAATAAACAACAGCTGATTCAAAAGTTGTAAAGTTTTCACTGACATTCACCTGTCTAGCATCTCAGTAAAACTGCATAATTACAACAGCAAGAAAACTTCCAGTAGTTTCAAGTGGTAGCCTGCGAGCAGGCAGGCTAGTCGCAGGCTACAAAAGTGGACGCTCTTGAATATACCTTATGCATAATGACGTCACAAGGCTTGATACCCGCGAGGAATGCTGGTCTTAGTAGTCATCGCCCGGGAACATTTCGATAGTGGCCATTTTGAAAGACTAGCATTCCTCGCGGGCATCAAGCCTTGTGACGTGATTATGCATAAGGTCTATTGGGACGTTTTAGTACCCGTAACGATTTTCACAGTGAAGTATTACGAAGAAACGAAGTGTTTGTGTTGATAGAATAATTTTGACTAGCGAAAACGTCTGCGAAATACTAGTTCTCTGAGAAGCCAATCAGATCTCTTCCTTTAGTCGCCTAACCCAGAGCCTAATTTTCAGCGAGTGACCAAGTGAAATTGGCTCTGGGGACGATAATAGTGACGTCATTTAAGTCGATTAGGCCACAAATCAACTGCTACCTGCGGGCCCTAGGTCTAAGCTGGAAAATTACACTGCATGTGCAATGCTTTAAAAATGCGTTACAGCATTGCCGCAATCGTTGCGAAAACTAGAAATTGATTTTACTTCGTGCAATGCTTGTTGGAACTTGGAACACAAATATTGCGAGACTGGATGATTGCGAGGCACGTTACACCTTACAATTTCGTGTACAACATTTGGCGCTACAAAATTGCGTGATAAGTTGCGAGACAAGTTGCAAAGTGTAACAACGTCTAGAAAACCTAATTTTAACTGAACGTTATGAAAGTCTTGTACAAAATTCCAATCTAAAGTGATGAAACTATGCCATTAACATGATTCAATATCTAGTCCTAGTCCAATATAATATCGCAGAACTCCGCGATCAAATATCTGCGTATTGGCTGCTTGTCTTGAAAGACTGGAAATAGTTTTGCCTTCACGAAGCTCCAGCAAAGTATAAAGAAAATTACGAGAGGTTAAACTCAGTATAACTTCGTCTTGACATAACCTCCACCGCAGGCATCTCGTGGTTCACGTACATTACAAAGTTGGTCTCACAATTTTTTGCCTGCAAGTAAATGTTGCCCGCCAATCTAAAGGCGATGCCTGCGGAGGAGGCTAGTCTTGACACAAGGAAAAGCGGTGAAATTCCCCACATTATAGAATCGGCCGTGTCCTTATAGTAAACACTTTTCTTTTCTCATATTTGCTCCTACTATTTTGGCAGACATTTTCCCCGTCTTTTTCATAGACTCGCGCATGCGCCTTACGTTTGACAGCAATGTTTCCCAATATATAATATAACGCCGAACGCAATATCAAATCCAATAACTTCCCACGTTGATGCTTGAGATTTAATTATAAATTGTCTATCATTATTTGTTATCGTCTCTTCAAGAGGCTGAACTTTGTGATACAGAAGAAAGTTGATCTCGTATTTTTCCTAAGCCATCTAACATTGTATCCAATGTCTTTTTACTTAGTTCTACATTTAGACATTTTAGCTCGGGCAACCTTTTCTCCTCACAAGCATTCTCCTGAATCTGGGGGAAAGAAAACATGAACACGTGAACAAACTGAAAGATTTTAGCAGGCAATATTTACACGATACGACTGGTCGTATACGATGGTTATTTGTCGTATGAAAACGACTACTGACGCCACTATTCCTGTTCATTAGTTTATGGCCAAATTTGAAATATGACACAATTTATTCGAGTATATCTTCACACGCATTTATTCGGGTACATATGCCAGGATAAGAATAGTATACGACTAGTCGTATGGTGTAAATAGGTGTTTAGAGAGGTTCAGATTTGACTTCCCCTACCATTAAGGGACCATACCAATCAGATATGTTTGATATATCGAATTAACCAATCAGACACGTTTGATAAATCCAATTAACCAATCAGATACGATTGATAATCCAATTAACCAATCAGATGCGTTTGATAAATCTGATTAACCAATCAGATGCGTACGAAGCCAGTGAGAGGTAGCGGTATACATGTAGTGGAGGCCAAATCTGAACCTTTCTAATTTTCTGGCTACGGCAATGCAATGGTGGTAATATCGTTGCAATGCTATCACGAAAAGGGAATTGCTCGTGTATCATGTTCTGCAACGAGATTTTAAAGCTTCTCGCAACCGTTGCGGAAATTTAGTAGTTAGTAGCAAGTTAGTAGCGTACTAACGTTCCGACGAAGAAAGGCCTTCGCCCGAAACGTCGAAAATCTGCTTATATTTTTCAGGCAGTTGTATCTCTCTCATTAGAGAGTTTAAGTTCGACTTCCGATACCAATACCGATACTAACAACATGTCATGCGCATGCTCTCTGCTCGCAAGAAGCACGAGGACAAGTGTATTGGAAGTTACCACTACCGAAGTCGGCCTTGTATTGGAAGTCGGGCGAATTGTAAGATAAACTCATATAAATCGGATATTTCATCATTTTTACGATAAACATGTAAACTATTTGTTTATTAGCATCGCCTGGGTCATGTTTTAGTCGGAATTTTAGCTCAGCTGCCGTTTAGTATACCGCACATATTCGTTGACGATTAATGTGTTCTATATACTTTATCTGTCGTGATAACTTAACGCTTTAAAATTCCCGGTAACAAAATGAGAACGGAAGTGAAGACATCGGTATCGGTATTGGAAGTCGAACTTAAACTCTCTAATCTTGTACTTGTCGCTACCCCGTTCAGGATATATGTAATAAAATGTAATTTATTTTACGTTACAACGCGTCTTACCTTAAGTTGAACGAGACATGTTGGCATTGACATCCTGGTAACAGCGTCAGATGATGTTTTTACATCCACCCTCCAGTCAAAATCAACCAGCTTGGGCAAAGAAACTACACCAACAATAGTTTTATTTAGTTAAGAGTTCGAGATTTGCTCTATAGAACTTGGGTAAGGGTTATATTGAGAGAAGAATTATATCGATGTGATCATAATGCCTAACAAAAGATAATGCTGTCCTGAGTGGTTATATCACTACCTTAAAAAAACAGACAGTTTTACTAACAAAAGATATCCTGTGGTTTCAGTTTCATATCCAGAAAAGTTTCGGGTAAGTAGGTCTGGAAACAGGACCCACAATCCCACATGATTATTTTGTTAGGCCTAAAAATGACGCTGATCACCTTTTCAAAAGCAAAACTTTTTTAGATGCTTTATACAGTATACTAACATACTGTATCGTATCAACATCACTTGGTGTTTAGTCCTAGAGATAGAACATAGGTCAATTTATCTACTGAGTTTGCTAAACCTGGCTTACCTTGACTTGCCATGGCTTGTGTTTTCCACTCAGTCCTAAATAAGAAAATATTTCTAGTTCATATATATATATATATATATATATATATATATATATATATATATATATATATATATATATATATATATATATATATATATATATATATATAGTATATAGATACAGGTAGCATAGCCAGTATAAAAACGGCTATATTTCCAATTAGCCTACTGAAACTACTTGCAAAACTACAATGGGGCTTCGGTGGCGCAGTCGTGCGGTGGCGCAATTTTGCAAGTACCGAAACTACTTCGGTGGCGCAGTTTTGCAAGTACCAAAACTACTTCGGTGGCGCAGTTTTGCAAGTACCGAAACTACTTCGGTGGCGCAGTTTTGCAAGTACTGAAACTACTTCGGTGGCGCAGTTTTGCAAGTACTGAAACTACTTCGGTGGCGCAGTTTTGCAAGTACTGAAACTACTTCGGTGGCGCAGTTTTGCAAGTACTGAAACTACTTCGGTGGCGCAGTTTTGCAAGTACTAGCCTGCATGGCAGGCGGTACTTAGGAAATACCGCCTGCCGCAAAACTGGGTGTAAATGAACTACCGCCCCTGAAGCATCAACGCTATTTATAGAGGCATTAATTAAGTAAATATTCAAAATTAGCCACTCCCAAGCTGCTCCCAAGTCCCAACTGCCCAACATGAAATAAATTCCTTGATTCCCATCACCGCCCGACTGAATTTTAAAATCCTCGTGAAAACGTTTTATATTTCGTTATACAATATAAATGTACCGCCCGACAAAATAATTTTTTTATATTTTATATAGAGTTTTTATTGCCATTTTAAACTTCCAATTTGAAACAAACAGAATTTTGAATGAAATTTCATTGTATTTTAAAGAAACTCAGTCATTCTGTCATTGTTCGTGGAGATACGAACTATTGATATATAAATGATATAAATATAAAATATAAAAAATAAATCTCCCACTGTCTTCGACATGTGTTAATATAAACCAAGCAAGTCTATACTATAGATTCATCATCAGTCAACAACCAAACTGAAAGTTTTAAACCTTATAGAACGATAGTTTTTATCTTCCAATACAGCAAATCCCTCAGTATGAGGATTATTAGCTGAGGTCAACAATAATAAACTATTTAAAGTTAAAGTGGAAGTCAAAGCCGTTCTGCGAATCGGTTCTGCTCATAACAATGTGAGGACCTCTAATGTGAACATTGCCCAAATTTCGAATGTTTCGAATTTTTCTGCGGTCATAAACTCTATTTCATATTCATTTAGAAGCATAGCGAACCAAAAGGGTGTTAGATATTCAGACATCATATTTTAAGAAATACAGCAGTTCAAAATGTAAACAAACCGTTTGTTTACAGTACGGACTTGACTTCCACTTTAAGATAATGGAAAGTTAAATAATAGAAAAAAACTATAAAAAAACCCCAACAAACCTAGAGCGGTCCCAAGCCGAGATCGGAGATCGGGAGCTCCGCCAGAATGCCCGATCGTTACGTAGGCACAGTCTCCAAGGGAAATTGGAATTTCTCTGGTAACATGTGCGTTATTGACGATCAAACCCCCAAACAGAGCCCCCGATCCCCAACCTCGGCCGAGGGTCGCAATAACACACTAAACATTACTAGAATGAGACAATAGTGAAATACGCTGACGAAAAGTGTCAGTTGTGTTGCAATTTGTAAAAATGTTTGAAGGAATATTGTTCCAATGGTTTATTGTTCTTGGGAAAAAGGATAGGTAGTGGGAGGACGTGTTGCTGACTATCGCCCGTATTCTAAAAGCTCACTCACACTCACACTCAATGAGTGGAGGTTCAATCTGAGCTTCTCTTGAGTGTTAATGCTGTTTTTGAATAGCTGGAGGGCTAGTCTCATACCTTACTCGGTGACTACTCACCCTTCAGCTATTCGAAAACAGCATTGATACTCAAGAGAAGCTCAGATTGAACCTCCACTCATTGAGTGTGAGTGTGTGAGTGAGCTTTTAGAATACGGGCGTAAAGGTAGGAATGAGTGTTCATGTGTATTTCGAGATCTTCTTAATGCAGGACGAAGAAGATTTGAACAGCTGACTGGCGCAAGGCCCTGCACAATTTTGTACATGAGGACTAGACGAGCGTCAATGCGTCTTTCCTCAAGAGAGCGCCACCCAAGTTCATTTAGCATTTCAGTAACACTGGCCAGTGGATGAAAGCGTGCTAGGGTCCATCTCGCCGCTCTGCGTTGAATCATCTCCACTCTGTATGAACCGTTGTTTTCAACTCCGCGTCGGGGATCCCAAACGCTGCAGCAGTACTCTAGCCGGGGGCGTACAAGGCTAACATATGCCTTTTGCTTGAGTTTACGTTTTTACCCTCAGATTTCTTTTCAGAAACCCTAGAGTACGGTTTGCTTTGGCAGTAACATTGCTGATGTGAGAGTTCCACTTTAAATCGTGTGATAATTGTACTCCAAGATACCTGGCACTTGTGACGGACCTGAGGATTTTGCCGTGAAGAGTATAGTCATGATGGGTCATTGATTTCTTGCGCGTTACTGGTAGGACTTCACATTTGTCTGAGTTAAACTCCAATCTTTCTCCCATGATTGTAAGTTGTCTAGGTCTGATTGTAGTTGAGCGCACAGATCTTCTGAGTGAATTGCCAGATACATAATTGTGTCGTCAGCAAAGAGATGTACATTGGATTGAACGTATTCCGGGAGATCGTTCATGTACACAAGGAACAAGATTGGGCCGATAACGGAGCCTTGAGGAACACCAGAGAGGACTGGGAGGTATGGGGACTGTTCTCCATCGACTACAACGTACTGCTGACGACTATCAAGGAAGCACGATATCCAATGCAAAATATCACTTCGTACACGTAGAAGTCCAGTTTTGCTAGGAGCTTGTTATGGAAGACCTTGTCGAAGGCCTTTGAAAAGTCCATGATTACAAGATCTGTCTGCGCTCTCGCGTTAAGGTTTGCTTGAAGAGTTGTTGTAAGCTCAAGCAAGTACCAGAGTCAACTAAAGGTGCATACAGGTTGAATGGTGGATAGTTGTTTCCATAAACTGTTTAATATCCAGATTCGCAAGAGAAGAAGATATATTTGATCATACGTCAGCAGGGTTTCCAATAAGCCAGCACCAGGCGATTTTCACCGTCCAACCATGGGTGATGGTTATTTCTCGAAAATTACAAACCAAAATATTTCCTTCTTGCCGCAGAAATGTTAAGGGCAAGGTTTCTTGCTTTTTTAATATAAACTTTACACAAATGTCTTTGTTAAATATTTGGAATGAGTCGCCAAAATGACTGGAAATGCCATATCAGAGGATTTAAATTTCAGAATCTTCAAAGAGAGACTGGTACCGGCACCACAAAGCCGCGTATACTTCGTTGAAAATGCCTCCTACTCCAAATTCTATTGGGAAATCTGCGCCAGCAAGAGAGAGGAAATATAGATTTAGTTTCTTGAAGGATATAGTTTTAGAATGACTTATCATCCATCGTTGTCGTCCATCTGCGATTTATTCCAACAATATTTTAAAACGCCACAACTTTTCAACAATTTCATTCCTTCACTTCTTAAAACGTTATTTATCCAGAAAAAGATGAGTGCATTTATAGTCGAGTTCATAGTAATTACAGTTGACGCCCAAAAGAAAACACACATTGCAATTTTTGATCTTACATCCAATATGTTTGATAAAGTCAGTCCGTAATAAATTATAGTTGGACAGCAACATATAAAAAAACAAAAGACTGCCAATAGACATGTATAATATTTCTTGTACCCAAAAATTCCTCTTCTGCCATTTGACGAGGTAGATTTGTATCTTGATTTAGCAATGTAAAACATCTTGCAGTTCAAAATCATAATTAAAATCAGAAAGACAGAAACGAACGCGACTCTGTAAGCCGGTTGGTTGCCATTGCAAATCTTCAAGCGGAACCAGACTGTTTGGAAAATCACTATGAACGTTTGAGTCGCTATAAGAAAAGTAGCAAGCTTCCTCTTTGTGACGGATGTTTTGTGAAATAGTGGATAAGCCAAGCCCAAATATCGCTCGAACGTCATTGTCAAAAGTCCAAATAGAGAACACGCAAAAACGGTGTTACCAATGTAGGAAAACAGATAAAATTGTTGAGAGTATACACCACGATCTTCGAAAAGCCACGAAATATACCAGAATATCGTCAAGGAATGAAGCACAAATACCACCACAAGATCGTAACAGGACAAAAGAAATATCATGAAATAACATAATTTCTTTCGAAGTTGAGAAGATTTCCATATACTGAGTACTACCACTGCGTTGAAAAATGTTCCAGCAAACAGAAAGACCAAGTTGACGATACAGAACACTATTCCGTTCAATAATCTATAATTATCACTCATGTTTTTTCCTTTGGATTGGCAAGTTGTTTATAACGTTAGAAAGATTGGTCTTAAATTTATATATTATACTTCAACATTTAATAATCTAGCTGCACCTGCTATACCTTCAATCAAACGACGTTTTAATAGCATGTACTTATTAAAACTTGACATATTCCAAGTTGGAAATTAAAAGATATATAAATAAGCGTTTTATTATAATCAAATTGAGGTACCGTATTTTGACAACCCTGAATTTTCTAATAAACATAATCAATGAGTGGGCAGGCGTATATATAGGCTATAGCTATACTTTACTCTTTAGCGAATATTATTTGCAGCGCAAAACTCCATGTTTTATATTATAAACATGACATATTGTGCTCCTAGCTGCACAATGGCAGTTAATAATAATTGCTCTTTTAAGGCTGGTATCATTAGTATCGCTGACGCAATTTTCCGTTTCGTAAACCGCCAGGGTCACCAGTAACAATCAGTGTCACCACTTTCGGTGTGCGTCACATCCCAATCATGACAAGGATTGTTACTGCCGGTTTACGAAACGGAAAATTGCTATTCATTCGCGAATAGTGTTTTCATTTGTTTTGTTATCGCAAAGTATCGGCGACTGTCGAAACAAAACAATTTTTTTATTTCTTGCGACAGTCAGCACCGGCGAGTATCGCCGACTAATGAAAATCAGCCTTTAATAAAAATAGGCATTTCTGACAAGAAAATCACGGACAAAGCAACCATGAAGATTGAAGAACATCATGCATTGATGTTTTAATGTTGAAAGGTCAATGAATCAGTCAATCAATAAACAATTCCTTCTAACCAAACCTTCGTTTACCATGCATGTAGTTCGTCCACGGCCTTTTCATATATACAGTAACTGCTAAACTGCATAGACTGTATGTATGTACGTTTACACGCATGCTGCGATTTATTGGGCCGATTTTAAGTATTGCCAATGATAATGATTGGCAGTACTCCAATCCAATTCAAAATACCTGATTGAATATTCAAATCACAACGCAACAACAGAAAATCGCGACATTTGATTTGTTATTTTATTGCTAAGGTTCTTTTTGAAACAAGCGGCACCTGTTACTTTCAAATAAACCTATAGTTTTAATAACATAGACTTAATAAAACCTTTCAAGATATATTAATTAAATAAGCGTTTCATCATAACCAAGCTGAGGTATTTCGACTTCCGGATATGATCTTTAACTACTAAATATCCCATGAGGCGTAAGACCGACAATTGACAATGAGTGGCGTACGCCTACTACTTTAGCAAATTTTATTTCAGGCTCGAAACTCCAAGTTCTTTTCCAAAAACATGAATAAGAAAACTACCGACAAAGCAAACATGAACATATTAGGTTCTTTTTGAAAGATAGTTGAAGGGTTTTGTGCAGATGAAAATTATCGAGTGGAAGTTTACATAACATTTATTAGCCCTAATCAGGAACAGCTGCGGAAAATGCAACCACAGGTCCTTGGTGCACTTTGGTATAAATCATGCGGTAAGCATAAAAAAAAACGGTAACCTGAACTTGCAGTAAGTAAAAAATATCTAAACCACAGAAGTGAAAGAACACCTGAAAATTCCTACCTATAGAATAGATACTGTGTAGTCCGTAGTAAATTTGATACAATTAATTGCTATTGTTTTATAAGATACTCTATATTATTTATAAGATACTCTATATTATATATGCATGTATATCATAAGTCTACCGGGTGTCCCAAAAAAAAGTACTCCGGTTTGATTCGAAATAACTTCTAAACAAGTAAAGCTTTTAAAGAGAAATAACTTGCATCAAATAGAGGAAGGACTAACTTAGATTTTGATATATTACAGTTGTATTTCACTTAAAAATTCACGGAGATATTAATGTTTAAAATCGGGAGCATATTTCTGGATGTGTCTGAAATATGCCAAAAACAGCGTATCAAATATTAATCAAGATTTACCCAACTGAAACATGCACTATTACCTGTAAATAAATGACACTTGACAAATTGTTTATTATGAAACAAAGTATTATTATCTACAAAACACAAGCAAGATTTATTCGTCCGAAATCCGCGTGTGTTCCTAGCACGAATACGTTTCCTTATTTCATGAGACCACTGCATCGCGAAGATCGTCATGGATCGTTCGTAGTTCTGAATTAGGGCACGCTGTCACAATGGAATTGTGAATTTTCTAACTTCACATTGAATGAATTTTCTAACTTCTGCAACGTTCTGAAATCTTGTTAAGAACACCCAAACTCTTTTGCCTTTCTTAATCTTGGCAAGTTCAGAATAAACTGAGAATGAAACACAATCAAACCATACAACTCCATAAGTAAAGACATAACAAGCAACTCCCCAGAGACATCCAACATTTTTGGAACAAAACGTAACAAAATAATATCTTTGATACTGTGATGTGTATTTGCAAAAAGCAATATTATTTCCTCCATTAAAGAACAATATTCATCCTGCTCTAACCGAGAAATAATCAACTTTGTTTTGAACCCATGAAAAACATAAAAAATAGGTTATTTAAGAAAAATTGAAGCGCCTGCCTTGCATGGTCTTTCATGCACCTTAAGTTTGCAAAGACCTATTAAATACTTACATAATTTCGAACGTTCATATTTCAGGAAACAATGAGTTAAGACTTACATGTAAGATGTCTAAATCTACGCCATATCCCTTACAAACCCTAACGACAATTCGCTGAAATACAAGTTACCCTGATAGTCATTAAGCAAACAAACGCTGGAGTTAAAATTTGATACGCCGATTTTCGCTAATTCTAGACACATCCCAAAATATGCTCCCGATTTTGAACATTAATATCTACGTGAATTTTTAAGTAAAATGCAACTGTAATATATCAAAATCTAAGTTAGTCCTTCCTCTATTTAATGCAAGTTATTTCTGTTTGATAGCTTTACTTGTTTAGAAGTTATTATAAATCAAACCGGAGTACTTTTTTTTGGGACACCCGGTATATACTGACGTAACTGGACACGATTAAGGGTACATTCATTGGTATTGTCATTTGTCAATTGTCTCCATATTGACTCTGCCTTGCTTAAAACCAAGTGCGAACGGGCGAAGATTCTAATTGCTGCCGGAAAGAACATCGACCCTGAGCTGTACCCAAACTTATTCAAGAATCAAGGTGATCGCCATATCAAAGACCTTGCCAGTTGGTACTGCAACCGTGGAAAGAAGCTTCAGTGTTATGAATTGGATATTGAGCTGGGCTCGTAATGAATACAAATCGTTTCGCCCCCAAGTTGATTTGCCCCAAGTCGTCGCCGACTTTGTCAAACCTTTTCACGCTTTTGTTTTCGTTTGAAATGTCAGCTTTGGCTTTGACAAGTTTGAAGCGTGCATGCATTAGCGTTGGCCAATGACTTTATGTTGCTATCCATGAATAAAGACCTGTTAACAAGGATAAACTTGGACAAAGTGCTTGATCGATTGGTAAATCAAAAATCTCGAATAGTACAGTTTAAGTAAAGATTTGTAGCGCAGCTAGCGCTTAAAACTAATTTAATCTGACTTTTTTCAGAATTCATAACACTCATTGTGTGACTTGTGAGATCATAAATTTAGAATACTTTAGCTTGTTTTTAGCTTGTTTCTATTAAACCCTTGCCATTTCGTTGCTGTTTTTATTGTAACAAATAGTGCTTCCTTGTATTGTGCTTTCATTTTTCAAAATGAATTATGAAATCTAGCTAGAATATAATTTTAGTAATTTTTTTTTTTTTGGGGGGGGGGCGATCGCCCCCTCCCCCCCCCCCTCGTTTCCGCCACTGGTAAAGATATTCTTTATAGTAAATAGGAACTTTATTATTGCTCTTCATAGCTTTTATATAGTCTATATTCAATTGTTTTTAAACCATGCTTTTTATACAACCAGTCTCAAGTCACATGACTATAGGTACTGTTATCCGGTGGACAAAGCCCCGAGTATAAAGTCCGGTAGATATCGTTACATCCTTTCCTTCATAAAAATATGAATATCTAATTATAACAAATGTCTTAAATAGTCAACGAAAAGAATCGGAAATCTATGACCAACACAGTACAGAATATTGTCATGAGCAATAATAGTCTGGAGCTTTTAGCAACCGCCCTCTCGATGATCTTCTTTCCACTGGGTTTACCTTCGTTGGACAACGGCTGATTTGTTTGCATACCCGAATCTGGGGATACCGCTTGTAGTGGGTTATCTTGTGCTGTTGGTAGGTCATTTTGAAATGTAGAACCATAAAGTTCACTTTTTTCATCTGGCAGCGTTGCTTTCCCTTCGACTCTTTCTGTTGTTATTGCTAAGTGCCTTCTGTTTCGTCTATACAATTTACCGTCAGACATAACTTCATGTGATCGAGGAGCGGCTTTCTCGTTAATTGCAAACTCCACTTCTCCACGTTTTGTAGGAACTATTTGGATCTGGTCGTATTCGAACAACATCTCCTGGTTTAAGTTCCGGGAGCGGTTTACTCCCCCGATTATAGTATCGTGCTTGCTTTCTTCGCTTGTTCGTTACCTGTTCCTTCACCATGCCGGGAAGTTTCGGTTTCAACAAATTTGCTGAGGTTGGGAGAGGGGTTCTTGTCCTTCTTCCCATTAACCTTTGCACACGGGATGAATTAAGGCCTTCGATCGGCGTGTTTCGCCACGCTAGTAACGCTAGGTAGGGATCTCGTTTATCAGATCTTTTTTGCCGTTTTTACTGAGTTCTCACCCTTTCCATTGGATTGTGCATAATACGGGATGAGGTAATATGCTTGAACTCCCATTCTCTAGCAAAGTTCTCAAAACTTGTCGAGGCAAACTGGGGTCCGTTGTCACTTCTCACTTCTTCAGGTCATAGTTAATGGAGGAGATGGTTTGGAAACTCATTAGCATTACAATAAACCTCACTATCTATGTTTTTGTCCAGGTTTATGCAAAAATGTGGTCTTTCATCGTCACGTGCGTATTGTATTTTTGCTCAACCAACCAATAGCAACGGTTTTGTCCAATTGCCCATCCATGACTTTAACAATAGGACATTTTGAACAATCCTATTGGTTGACTTGAGAAAAATACAATACGCACGTGACGATGAAAGACCACATTTTTGCATACTGCCTGAAAAACATAGATAATGAGGTTTATTGTGATTTTATTGTAATGCTAACGAGTTTCCAAACCATCTCCTCTATTAACTATGTTCAGGTATACCATATCTTGCGAACTGTGACTTTAAAATCGTGATGATTGCTGCAGTCGTCGTTTCATTTGGGACATTAAATTCGAAGTAATTTGAATAATCATCAACCATTATGATATAATCTTTTCTTTCTAGCGTGAAAAGGTCAACAGCCACTCGTATCCATGGTCTATCCGGTACCGGTTGTGATATAAGAGGCTCTTTGGGTTGTTCTTTTCGGTAGGCATTACAGGTATCGCAGCCAGACACATGTTCTTTGATTGCCGCGTTCATTCTGGGCCAAAAAACTACTTCACGGGCACGTCGAAGGCATCCTTCAGCAGCAATGTGACTCGAATGTATCTTATCTAGCATTTGACTTCTCATCAATGCTGGTACGACAACTCTCTCACCTTTGAAGATTATGCCATCTTGCACTGATAATTCGTCACGAAAGTTATAGCATAGTTAATAGAAGAGATGGTTTGGAAACTCATTAGAATAACAATATAACTCATTATCTATGTTAGTCAACGTTTATTCATAAATCTGGTCCTTCACCGTCACGTGTGTATTGTATTTTTACCAAATCCACCAATAGCAATTTCCAATTTACCCTATTGTTCGAGTCATGGATAGGTAACTTTCCTAAAGCATTGCTATAGGTTAGTTGGGCAAAAATACAATACGCACGTGACGGTGAAGGACCAGATTTATGAATAAACGTTGACTAACATAGATAATGAGTTATATTGTCATTCTAATGAGTTTCCAAACCATCTCTTCTATTAACTATGGTTATAGTAAGCTCTTGTTCTAGCTAGCACTCTGTTCCTCTGGTTGGGCCATCCACTTTCAATGTTTCTTTTCAGGTCTTGGAGGGTTACATCATCTCGTGTTTTTCCTGAAGCTCTCGTAAGAGTTCCTGGCTAATTGAAAGATACTTAATCATCTTCACATTCTCTACCGCTCTAATGAACTCTTTCTCTTCTTCACCGACTTGACTAGGTGAACTTAAATATGCCCTATTCAAGGTATCGGCAATATAAAACTCGGCCCCTCGCTTGTACACGACTTTCCAGTTATACTTCTGCAGTTGCATCATCATCCGCTGCAATCGTTTGGGAGCTGCTAAAAGTGGCTTTTGCAGAATCAACTCCAGTGGTTTGTGATCTGTTTCGACGGTAATATCGCGACCGAATACGTACTGATCAAAACGATCACACGCATGTACAATTGCCAACAGCTCCTTCTCGATCTGAGCGTAGTTTCTCTCTGTAGATGTAAGTGCTCGAGATGTAAATGCTACTGGCTGTCCTTCTTGGAAAGATAATTCACCATACCAAGGAATCTCTTGACTGAGGGTACCTCTGTTGGTTGAGGCATATTTTGGATAGCTTCCACTTTCTTCGGGTCAGGTTTGATTCAACTTCAGTCAGCCTTAACTTCGCTTTATCTTTATTCATCTTGAGATTGCTTTCGCGGGCTCTTTGCAGAGCATTTCTAAGATTTTGGTCGTGGTCTGTTCTTGCTGTTTCTATGTCGTCACTTTCCCCAAATACAAGCAAGTCATCAGCTATCACTGCCAGTAGATATCGTTACACTGCCATGTTTAGGTTATGGGTAAATATCGAGATTTTGTTGGCATCTGACTCGATTCAATAATAGTTCAAGAGTCTGGTAGATGGAAATTATCGAGTGGAAATTTATATAAATTTATTACTTCTTGCGAAAAATGCAACTATAGGCTCCTGACATTATATAGGGTTGCATGGTGGATAGTTGTTTCCATAACTGTTTAATATCCAGATTCGCAAGAGAAGAAGATATATTTGATCATACGCCAGCAGGGTTTCCAATAAGCCAGCACCAGGCGATTTTCAACGTCCAATCATGGATGATGGTTATTTCTCGAAAATTACAAACCAAAATATTTCCTTCTTGCCGCAGAAATGTTAAGGGCAAGGCTTCTTGCTTTTTTAATATAAACTTTACACAAACGTCTTTGTTAAATATTTGAAATATTTTTGAAGAGGAGATTTTTTAAAAAGTCGCGTATTTTTTCCGAAAAGCGATCAAAGCTTAGCGGCCAGGCCTTCGCGAAAAAATAATGGGCCGCCATCTTGGTTTTAAAAGTTTCCCAAAATTTGCGAAGACAAATAACAGAATTTTACTGAATTTTTGTCTATGTTACGAGCCAAAACATTGCCAAATACAAAGACAGATGACATGGTAAGTGTAATGTCGTATTTAATAACTGTTATTTGAATTATTATTATATAAAATGTGCACATGTATCTGACTCAGGAGTGAGCACTGAGCATTCAAACCCGTCATCTACAATAATATTAATATAAAACTGATTGAAAGTGACTGCTTTCGTCCTTTGAATGATGGCCTGCCTGTTCACAACTCATTAATATATGTACATGCAAAACTGTAAAGCACTCTGTTTGAATTTTCAAGGAAGAATTTGTCAATTTGAGTATTTGTAAACAGTTTTTCGCCTCTGGTACTTTTGCATATTTCCATATTAAAGACATTTCACTGCAAGTGCACATAGTCCATGTATCTGTAATTTTAAACTTCATACTGTTTGTACACATGCAGCTGTTGCAGTGTTTCAGGTATACCATGCTAGTCACTACAAGTTCCCTTTCTGATATAAAGAGTTGTGATGTACTGGTACCGTAAACCTCCGACTTACGACTATAAGCCACCCCCCCCCCCCGAACATAGACGGATTTTCATGTTTTTTACTGGGGTGGTGCCAGAAATTTTAGGGGGGTGAGCCGCGAGCAGGTGACTGAAGCAACACAAAGTGTCACCAAACCCCAGTAGGGTCTATATTCTAGGAGTGGAGCACTAGAGCCGCGAGTGGGAGTCTAGAGAGCAAAAAACAAAGTATCCCTGAAAAGAATTGATTTCTAGATTCGAAAAAACGTTTTTTGAAGTTGTCATATCAATGGATTTGGCCTGTCCAATTGTCTGTCGAGACTTGAGAGAGTTAAAGTTAAATGAACCTGTAAAAGTGTAAACCCAATAGGCCAATACACAATATGCTTTTACTTTTATAAAATCATTGACATTGTGTCGTTTGAATCCGAGTACAATTTATGATGCAACTCTGATGTAAATAATATTTGGGGCGTAAAGATTAAATCTAGGCAAGTCTATTTCCTAAAAGAATTAAAAACTAAAAATGTTCCTAAAAATTCCAAACGTTCCTTGCAAGTAAGCTATTTGCATGACAAGGCACTGCAAACTCTATTCAGGGGAGATAATAGAGTTTCAAAACTTTACAATTGCATGGACCAATAAACCAGTGAATGCAAGCGAGGAGCAATTAGTTTCAGAGTATTGCACTGTCTTTTTCTATTTGAGTGTACTCCTATGTTTATTTTGTATCATCAACACTCTGCACGTTGGAGTGGACTATTTAATTATTTTTTATTATGCCGAATATTGGCCCCGAATATGCCCCCGAATATAAGCCCCCCCCCATGTATAAGCCCACCACATGTACTAAAGCTCACCTCATCCGAAATATAAGCCCC